TCCACTGTTCGTGCTACATGAACTGATTTGCTTCAACAAGCACACATAGGACCCTATGTGCATATGGAGAAAGTGTAATGTCAAAACCGAGACAGGATGTTAAGGCTAATGAAGCATGGATAACAAAGTTCACTGTTTCTAAAATATTCCTGGATTCCAATGCTGTTATCATCCTAGTAGTTTTAAATTACAGGGAAAAAATCCATAAACACTGTTTTCAAAAATTTCAGAGAAAATATGCATTGTCCTGAACTCTTTGAAGTACTCTCATATTATACAGCATCTGTTCTATCTATGTACTCAAAGTACCCTAGGAAGACACTCCTCGCTCTATCCACAGGCCCACTGGCAGAGAATTTGCAAAGCCTGGAGCCAAAGAAGGAATTTTTATTGCAAAACTGCAAGAACATTCAGCTCCACATATTCTAAACAATTCCCTTCCAGAGAGCTTACCTCTAAGCCAGACTGTTGCCAGGCAAAGTTACAAATGAAGGAAACTAGTTACCTGTTTCTGCTCACTGCTACTTTCAATGAATCCTTTACCATCTTTCAGAATCTCCCAATACCTTCACTTCCTTCTGTATGCGCTCTTTCCTCCAGCGGTATCTTGTTGTCTAGAGTATAGAGTCTTTTGCTGTAATCACCTGCAAAACTGCCTTACTCCTTACCCAAATGCCCTCAGAAATTGTCGAGTTTTCCCCATTCTCTCTGATATCTGATTGCTTTTCTGTTTTCATTTAATGCCAGCTCAGGAACAGCCAACATTTTACATGATCGTATGAATTGATTTCAACACGAAATTATTTGTCAGTTGGCTTTCTGTATTGCATTAGTTGGGGTTGTCCAGAGATTTAGAACTAGGAATGTATATATGCATATATAAATGAAAAACTGTGTGTAGTTACCATCAGTACCCAGAGAGGAGAAGTGAGAAGGAAAAAGAGACTCATAAAGATGTGGTTCGTGGAGGTATGGAAGCTGGTAAGTCCCAAGTTCTGCAAGGGAGGTAGCCAGGTGCAGGCCTAGAAGAACTGATGTAGTAGTTCCAGTCTGAGTTCCAAGACCTGAGAGGCAGGACAGCTTATGATGAAGTTCCAGTCTGAAAGCCAAGGGGCTGTGGGCCCAGGAAGAGCTGATGTTTCTGTTCACATCTGAAGACAGGAAAAAAACCGACATTCCAGTTTGAAGATCCTCAGACGGAAATTATCTTACTACAGGGAAAGTCATTTTATGTTCCATCAGGACTTTCAAGTGATTGGACAAGTGCACCCACCCTTTATGTAGGTTAATCTGCTTTACTCAGTCTACCAATTTATTTTTTATTTATTTATTTTTTGTGGATTTTTCTTTTTGCTTTTTTAATTTAAGGAATTTATGGCCGGCACCGCATCTCACTAACTAATTCTCTGCCTGCGGCGCCAGTACCCCGGGTTCTAGTCCCGGTTGAGGCGCTGGATTCTGTCCCTGATGCTCCTCTTCCACTCCAGCTCTCTGCTGTGGCCCGGGAGGGCAGTGGAGGACAGCCCAGGTTCCTGGGCCTGCACCCGCATGGGAGACCAGGAGGAAGACCTGGCTCCTGGCTTCGGATTGGCGCAGAGCACAGGCTGCAATGCGCTGGCCATGGCAGTCACTTGGAGGGTGAACCAAAGGAAAAAGGAAGACCTTTCTCTCTGTCTCTCTCTCTCTCACTGTCTAACTCTGCCTGTAAAAAAAAAAAAAAAAAGGAATTTATTAGTACACTAGATTTCCAGGGTTACAGCAGGATAATTACTACAATTCTCATAAATTCTCATGTTAATATGATATTAATACAAAGAGAACATATTCAATGTAATTCACAGATCCATTTCTCCCTCTCTCCTTCTTTCTTAATTTTGAGATAAACTTTTCTTAATATACATTATATTCAAATGCCTACAGCTCCACTTAATAAAAGGTTCAACATGTAAAATCAAAAAGACCGTGGTGCAGTGGGAATATAGGCAAGGGCTACCAATTTAAATGGCAATCCTGGGACAGGAGACTGACCCAGTGGTTAAGACACCTGACTCCCAGATCAGAGTGTTTGACTCCTGGCTCCAGCTCCTGACTGTAGCTTCTCAAGGCTCAAGTAATTGGATTCTTTTCGTTCACATGAGTTTTCAACTTGCAGTTTCAGCCCCCCAGGTATTGCAAGCATTTGAGGAGTGACCCAGTAGATGGGAACTCTCTCTCTGCCTCCCAAATATCGAAATAAAAATATAAATAAAAGTTAACCTTGTCCGAAACATTCTTACAGAAACAGAACGTTTTAGCAAACATCTGGTACCCCATGAGTCAGTCAGGTGACATGTAACAATAGTGGTTATCACAAGAAAATTTACATAAGCCTCTTGTGATAGGAACTTTTAGCAATGAAGTTACTTTCCAAAAACAGTTGTTTTAACAAGTCTTCAAAAATATTTTTAAAAGAAAAACGATGAGACAACAAATCAGGAGACACATGAAAATGCAGTGTCAATCAGAATCGCTGGCCAAGAATGTGATCTTATCAATACGGAAAGGAAACCTGTGAATGTGTAGAACCTATCAGTTTCATTTAGAATGAGGCAATCAGTTAAGTGATGAGAGTTTTGTCTCAAGCTTGAATAATGACAAAGGTTTGTCGAAAAGCTTTTTACCCTACTTGAGAGAATATTTTAAATAGATTTCTAATATTCTATTTATTTAGAAGTGTAATAAGTTGATACATACAGAAACATTTTGTTTCTTCAATAGGGTATAATATTTCTTCAATTGATTTGATTCATGAACAAAGAATACGAAAGAAAAAAAAAGCTTGTCCTATTGCACACATGCTAGTATTTGATGTAATAAAAACAGTCATTCAATATCCTTTCTCTAACTCCTAATTTTCTCTATAATCTTATATTTTCAGAGTTACCCAGCATAGACTCTGTTCTGGAAATTCCCATCAAGACATTCTTAATGCAATCATTACCTACACTCTTCTAAATAGCATCTTTTATCTCCTATTCAGAGATTTCAATTGCTCTTACAAGAGCCCAGAGATTGTTTTCTCTTCACGCGGACTCTCAACATTTATTAAGTTTCGGTGTCTATCCAGAGGTTTAACCATAAATGAAACAGTTAAATGAAATGAAGTTGTCTTTTTGTTCAAAGTGGCATTTCTTACCTACTCCAGTCTTTGTTTCTTCAAACGTTTGTAAGTGAACTTCAGTATAGCTGGTACTACGACAGTAAATACTGATACTGAAGTTTTCCATGTATCATTATTCATTAATGTTTATACTAGGTTTTGATTTCTAAAGCTAAGCCAACCAACTTTTCATTTTTTTTTCTTTTATCCCATTCCGTCTTCCCTCAAAAACCTATATTTATATTGAACAATAGAATGGTAGAAAGAAATGTTCCTAGGAGGTTCTGAGAATTAATTTCTTTAGTTTTTCTTTGTTTGACTAATAGTTAAAAGCAAATGTTAAAGGGCCAACATTGTGGCATAGTAGGTTAAACAGCTGCCAGGGACATCTGCATCTCATACGGGCAACAGTTCATGTCCCAGTTGTTTCACTTCTGATCCAGTTCCCCAGTTAAGGCCTCGGTAAGCAACAAATGATGGCCCTAAAGGTTGAGCACCTGCCCCCATGTGGGAGACCTAGATGAAGCTCCTGGCTCCTATCTCTTGCCTGGCATAGCCTTGTTGTTGATATCATTTTTGGAGTGAACCAGCAGATGGAAGGTCCATTGATTCTCTTTCATTCCCTGTCCTTCCCTCTCCCCCTTTCTCTCTATAATTCTGACATCAAATAAATTAATTATTCTAAAAAATCCTTATGCTGAATATGCATACAACATGAACTGAATATTACAAAAACTAACCAAATAGCCCCAGTCCAAATTGTTGATAACAAGGTGAGACAAAGATGAATTTATTGCTTACTGCGGTGAGGGAGAACATTAAACCTAATCAAGCTCAGTGCCTGCTACTAGGGAAGACAACCTCAGAATGTATTGAGAAATAAATGTTTGATTTAAGGTAGGTCTTTCAAACTGTAAGCTAGATAGAATTCCTTAAGGACCATGATACAGTAGTTTTTGAATGATAGAAATGGTAAAGTGAAATATTTTAGCAAAAGGGAGCTAAGAAGTTAAAGGGAAAATAGCACATTGATATGAAGAGTAGGTGGGGCTTTTAAGAAATCTTTATAATGAACAATCAAACCATTTGCCTGAGCAGGAAATTCCTGGAAGACTAAAGTCATTCTAAGGAAGACAGAAATAGCACAAGGTCTTATTAGTATAGCCAGAAAGGTATCATTTCAGTTCTTAGTGTCTAGGCTCAAGCAAGGGTTAGGTTTTGATTCTCTAATAATACCTGAATCAATGGTTTCATGATACTCTCAAATGCATTTATTTCATTCACTAAACAAATACAAAATATTTTAATGTTTATGTAACTTTCTACTATGATAAAATACATGAGTATAACAAGGTACTTTGAGAGGGAAGAGATGTATACTTTGGGACATGCTCAGGCTGACTTGCCCCAAGTGGTGGAGTTGGAAGCATACCAGGGGATTCCAATTCAATCCCATCGAGGTGGCATGTACCAATGCCATCTCACTGTTCCAGGTGATCAATTTCAGTTCACAGTTGGTCATGGTGGAGGGACTGGGAGTCAAAGGGAGCACATAGACAAGTCTAGTACCTGCTAACGCTAACCGATGGAGTAAATAAAGGGGAGAGTGATCCCACATGGGAAGTGAGATACTCAGCAGACTCATAGAATGGCAGATGTCCTAAATAGCACTCTGGCCTCAGAATCAGCCCTAAAGGCATTCAGATCTGGCTGAAAAGCCCATGAGAGTATTTCAGGCATGGAAAGCCAAGACACTCGGCAAAAGATCTCTGCGAGTGAGATCCCAGTGGAAAGAACAGGTCTTCAAAGAAGGAGGTACCTTTCTCTGAAGGGAGGAGAGAACCTCCACTTTGACTATGACCTTGTCTAAACAAGATAAGAGTCGGAGAACTCAGAGGGCTTCCATAGCCTTGGAAACTCATGACTGGAGCATAGGGAGATTACTGATGCCATAGACAGGAGTGTCAATTGGTAAAGTCAACAACAGGAGTCACTGTGCACTTACTCCTCATGTAGGATCTCTATCCTTAATGTGCTGTGCATTGAGATTTAATGCTATAACAAGTACTCAAACAATATATTTCACTTTGTGTTTCTATGGGGGTGCAAACTGTTGAAATCCTTACTTAATGCATACTAAACTGATCCTCTGTAAAAAAAAAAAAAAAAGAAATTATCAATTCCCAACTTGACTCTCACTGGGATTAAACATGACAATAGGTCTGATCTGATTTCATCATCATTTAAAAAAAATCATCTATTATTTTTCACTTTATGTTTCTGTGTGGGAGCAAACTGTTGAAATCCATACTTAATGTATACTAAGCTGATCTTCTGTATATTAAGATAATCGAAAATGAATCTTGATGTGAATGGAAGGGGAGAGGGAGTGGGAAAGGGGAGGGTTGTGGGTGGGAAGGACGGTATTGGGGGGAAGCCATTGTAATCCATAAATCGTACTTTGGAAATTTATATTCATTAAATACAAGTTTTAAAAAATATATTTATTTATTTATTTGAAGGCCAGAGTTAAGAGAGGCTGAGGCAGAGAGAGAGAGAGCGAGGTCTTCCATCCTCTGGTTCACTCCCCAGATGGCCTCAATGGCTGGAACTGGACTGGAATTGGACCAATCTGAAGCCAGAAGCTAGGAGCTTCTTCCAGGTCTCCCACACTGGTCCAGGGCCAAGGACTTGAGTCATCCCCTACTACTTTCCCAGGCCATAGCAGAGAGCTGGATAGAATGTGGAGCAGCCAGGTCTGGAACCAGCATATGGGATGCCAACGCTGCTTTACCCACTACACCACAGTGCCAGCCCCAACAAGGCAGGTTTTTAAATTTAAAAAAAAACAAATGTCTGCCCCATAATTTATTTGGAAACAATTGCTATTTCCCCCTGCATATCAATTTATCCTTACTTTGCCTTTCAATTCCTCTATTCCCGGTATTTTTGCATGTCCCCTCCATGTACTTTTACCTAATTTTCTTCCTAAAAATTAGCTATTCCTTCTTTTCTTATTCTACTACGACCATATTGCCCACTATCAGGTTGTGTATGTCTTGCTTTGATTCAGTTATCTCACTCAGAGGTTTAACAAATGTTTTGTCTTAACATAGGGTATGGGCCTGGAGTGGGGAATATTAGATCCATGGTCTTACAGAGTATTTAATTTACTAAGGAAACAGTTAAAGATCAAGGACAGTAAGAAGTCACCCTTCTTAAAAGACAAAGCAGTTTGGATACTAACAAAGAAAATGGGAGTGGAAAGTAGAGGATTCTCCCACTTCCTTGAGGAGATGGTGCGTGAGTTGAGTTCTGAAAAATGGCTTAATATTCCCCTGAGGAACAGAGGGTGATTTAAACCAAGGGGCATTAATTGAAGCATGAGTTCATGTGGAAAGCAGGTTGGCAGCATTTTGCACATAGCTATGATCAAACAAAATATTTTCAAAGAACGAGAAAAAACTTCTCAAAAAACATTTTTAAAGGGAAAGCTCAGATGTGCTGTACCAAGTGTTTGATTTAGTAGGCAATTCTGCCTTTTTGTGTTAATCACTTAGTGTCTTCTTCAGAAAGGGGGTATGAACATTTGATAAAATATATTCCTTAAATCTGTTGACTACTTGATGAACGGTAGGTACTCCAGATACTGACACACATAGAATATTTTAAACTTTGGCGTGACTGAATTCAAAACTAAAAGTCAATCTTTGCTGAGTTGAAATATTTTTATTTGAACTTACAAGTTAGTTTTCACCAGTTGGCATTTCATAACAGTTGAGGAAATGTTTCATAGTTCAAAATTAAGATGTAGTCTGTCCAAATAGGGACATCAAAATAGTACATTAAAAATAGGGATTGGGACCAGAGTCGTGGTGCAGTGGGTTAAGCTACCACTGGTGATGCTGGCAGCTCATATGAGTGCCAGTTCTAGTCTTGGCTGTTCCATTTGCAATCTAGCTCTCTGTTAATGTGCCTGGGCAAAGCAGAGGACAGCAGTTGGAGTTTTTGGGCCCCTGCCAACCATGTGAAAAACATAGATCAAGTTCCAGACTCCTGGCTTCGGCCTGGTCCAGCCCTGGCCATTGTGGCCATTTGGAGGGTGAATCAACAGATGAAAGATCTCTGTCTCACCCTCTCTCTGTCTGTCTCTGCCACTTCCATCTCCTGCCCCATAGCTCTGCTTTCAAATAAATCATTAAAAAAAAGTAGGAATTGAGTCAGACATTTGGCATAGTGATTAAGACCTGCTTGGGATGGAGGGAATAGGTTTGGAAGTCCTGGCTCTGCTTCTGATCCAGATTCCTGCTAAAAAACACTCATGTGCGTTGCCTGCCACTCATGTAGGACACCTGAATGAAGTTCTGGATGCTTGACTTCAACCTGGGCTACCCCTGGCCACAGGCACTTAAGAAGTGAACCCAGCAATGAAAGAGCTCTGAATGTCTCTGGCTCTGTTTTCCTCTCTGCTGTGCAACAAATTAAAAAAAAAAAAAGTTAAAATAGGAATAATACACAGAAAGCAAAGTAGGTAATGTTTCTTTAAATTGTTAAAAGGGAATAAATGGGAAAATGAATGAAGTCTTGTTGCATTTTTTTTTTCTCTTGTTCACTCCATTATTCTGTGAACTACATTAAACTTTGTCCCCCAAGTGACCTTGAATATTTAACCACCTGCTCAATTGGATCGGGCAACAGACAGACTGCAAAGCTGCAAGCATAAGACCTAACAAGAGTATGCTTCTCCCATAAGTAAAGTTTAGCACTCAGACTAGGGGGATGCGGGAATTGTTCAGCTGCTTGCAAAGATGCCTGGTACTAAAAACTCACAGAAGCGCTTCTGAAGTAGCTAAGTTTTTAAAGCCTGAGCCTTGACAATATTTAAGCAGGATCATGTAACATGAGATTTAGAATATTGGTCTCTCTGTGGAATTAATTTTTCAAAAAAGACTATATAAGAGTTATATGGGGACTATTTTGCAATTTGTGAGGCACTGATTTCCCTGTATATTTGCTAAAGTATTAACCTGAGAATTATTCAGAAAGCTAATGGAATATGAAATTTTAAGTTTATTTTGGTGCAAAAATATTTGGTGCAGGCATTTGTGGGGTCTTCACATAGTTCTTGGAAAGAACTATGCACGGATTTCAAATACATTTGCACCAAAATATACTTTTAAATCCATTTTCCATGAACATTTTGAAGTATCCTCATAGATTCCACTGGAAAAATGATGGAAAAGATGTGTACACACACATACACACATCTCCAAGTATATAAAGAAGCAGTTATTAAAAGTACTTTTTAAAGCACATTTGTAAGTGGACTTTGATAATTTCCTTAAATGATTTTACACTTAAAGCCGACTAACCTTGTGACATTTATCTGTTGATTTAAAAATGCATGTAACCCGCAATTTTGTTTGTATAGTTTAATTGGTTCTTGAAAGGTTAATAATTAAAGCACTATAGTTCATCTTATAAAGACATGTTTTTCTGATATATCCAAAACAGTTTCATAGAACAGCAGATATTAACTTTTGTTGTCTTATGAAAGTAACAGCATTAGTCAGACACATTTAGGGAAGAAATGCAGTTTTTTTTTTTACAAGATGTATGCCTCACTTCTTAGGAACTGTCTTGCCAATAAAATCACAGGAAAATAGCTGCTACATTATCTAAATTAATAAATTTACGCTGTTCTGTGAATGGTGGGTAATAAAATTTCTTGTAAAATTATTGCATTGCAAAGTCAGGGTTAAAATTGGCTTTGATTAGGAATTCAGGCTTGAAAAGTATCCTCAAAGTGTCATTTGTTTGGAATATTAGGACAGAATGGGTTTATCTCAGAACTGATTAGGTGTTGCAACTGTTGTCATTGTTGTTGTTTTGTTTTCTGGTTTCCTGGCTTGGAAGGTGATATACAGACTCACAGTGGAAGAGAGTACATGTCAGTTTTGCTTACACAATACACAGACCAATGATTACATGCCTTTTCCCTGTCTATAAATTTATGACTTTAAAAAACAATCACTGCTTTCGCTAATGAATAAATGGCCATAACAAATCCAAGTTCACTTTTTAAATACTTTAATATTCTCTGGATCTATTACATAAATGTTTTTATGATTATTAATACCCTTGGATTTTCTTCCTCAAATATACACAATGCTATGCTGTTGTTCATAGAAGCATGCTAGGATTCTATCATCATTGTAATACGAGTAAGTCCTTATTTAGACATTTCTCAAGGCATTCCACTGTTATCTTTCTTTTTTTTTTTTTTTGAGACATATAAGTTCCTAAAAGTGTATTTATCCCTATATGTGACCTATGTGTGATGAACGTATTCACTTGACCTCAGTAGATTGAGAACTAACTTTTATGGCATCTATTAAATGATTCGGTGCATGTATTATTTTGTTCTGGGCAATAATATTTGGGTGTTTTTTTGTCTTTTTATGCCTTAAAAATTGCAGAGAATAGGCATATCTCATTGACTAGAACTTGAAAGCTGAAGCTTCCCATAGGGAAGTGGAAGTCAGTGGCTTTCATAACTGAAAGGCACGCAGCAGGACTGCCTTCTATTAGGACACTTCACTGAAGAATCACAGCTAGGCAATCTCCCCCTTCTGAATAGCAATGCAGGAAATTTCATGAAAATGACAATTGTGCTATGATTTTCATGTTTACCCTCATCTTCGTTCTTTCTTCTTCTACTTTATCCCTACCCTGTGTTCACATGTAGACACACAGTACCTTAGAACTTCAGAGACGCAATCCTGTGTTTCATTTTTCAGCTTAATGAATTCCATATGGTTTCTTTGCATTCAAGTATTTTCCTATTTGTTGGTTTACTTTCTGGGTTTTACAATGTGTGTTATTTTTTATCATAGTGACTCATTATTAAGGACTTTTTTCACTGCTTTGCTCTTTTTTCTCTTTAGATTTTATTTCTGAAGTGCCACTTATTTCAAATTTTCTTTGGTTATATAGGATTGCCATATATATTGATCTACCTACCAATGCTAAAAGCATATTCATTGCATTTCTTATTTTTCCTCCTTTCCCTCAATCTTTGTTTTAAAGTCTTTAGTTCCAAAATCAATGCACTTTAAATAAGTGAAGGATTAGATAATCATTTGTCTTTGCTTTATAATGAAAATTTGACTATTTGAATTATACAATAAAATGCAAAATTTCAAAGAAAAGTGAGAATTTACCTTTCAATTTCATGAAATGTTAGATGACTAATGGCTTTGAGGGATACAATTATACATATCTAAATATGCACATTTTTCTAATTTAAATACAATTATAAATGCTATACATTACATGTCCAAATGATATTTTGGGGGTTAATGATTAATCAGGACTAAAACAGAATACTAGAGTTTGGTAAACTAATTTTTTAGATATAACTTATAACTATTTTTATCAAGCTAAATGTCATAATAAATTATTTTCTTTTATCTTTGAGGGAAAGACATAATGAGGCATTGGACTGTATTAGAGTGTCAAAATCAGCAAATATTTAGAAAATACTCACTTCATATAAGAAATTCTAGAAAATTGTGATTCATATGTCAAAATACAATCTATCAAATTAAAATACTGCCTATTCCAGAGGTAAGGAAAGAAATGTAAGTTAGTGTGTTTGCATGCATGTGGGTGTTTTAAATGTATGTGTTATTGTATAAAGAATATCTAATAACCCATAAAAGAAGGAGGTACCTTTCTCTGAAGGGAGGAGAGAACTTCCACTTCGACTGTGGCCTTGTCTAAACAAGATTGGAGTTGGCGAACTCAAGAGGCTTCCATAGCCTTGGCAACTCATGACAAGAGCCTTGGGTGATTACTGACGTTATAAATAGAATGTCAATTGTTAAATCAACAACAGGAATCACTGTGCACTTACTCCCCATGTAGGATCTCTGTCCTTAATGTGTTGTACTATGTGAATTAACGGTATAACTAGTACTCAAACAGTACTTTACACTTTGTGTTTCTGTGTGGGTACAAACTGTTGAAATCTTTACTTAGTATAAACTAAATTGATCTTTTGTATATAAAGATAATTAAAAATGAATCTTGATGTGAATGGGATAGGAGAAGGAGTGGGAGACGGGATGGTTGCAGGTGGGAGGGTAGTTATGGGGGGAAAAATCCGCTATAATCCAAAAGTTGTACTTTGGAAATTTATATTTATTAAATAAAAGTTAAAAAAATATTTAATCTAGGCAGTGTGAGTAGACAAAGCTCTTTCTTTTGCTAGGGTCAGAAAGGAATACAATGACTTTATGCAAAGCTTTTACTTGGGAAAAATCCAAGGGTCTGGTGTGGTTGAAGCAGAATGAAGGAGAGGAGGAAAGGTTGGACCAGATCTTTATGTTTTCCGTCTTCTTTGAACTCATCTAGATGACTGCTTCCTGAGTTGTATCTTTTTTGTAACATAAACAGGAATTTAGTTATTGTAATTTAAAACGTGAGAGTCAAACCTCAATTTAGGCTCACATATAAAGACTGTTATCAATTGAATAGACTTTTAAACACTATTTTGAGTTAAATAGTTCATTCCAAGTAATATTGCTGGACCACATTTTATTTAAAATGATTTGTCAGTCACAATTTGAGTAGATATTATGCTAATACTCAGCAGTTGCCTATATAGTTGGTGAGGCAGATATATGATCAATTTCAACAGATTATTGTTAAAGCAAGTAAAAGAGGTAGCTAGAGAAGAAAGTTCCAGTATCTCGATGTTCTGTGGCTTCTTCCTGTGTGGCTAGTGAATTGTTCAGTCACTATGGGGGAATGGCGAAGAGCATCCAGAAAGCTTTGAGGGAAAAAAAAACACTATGGGCTGCAAAGGAAGAAGAGCACCTCTAACAAATAGAGAAACAATAGGTTAGCCTGTGGGCAGAGCTTCAGGAAAGAGCAGGAGGTCAGGGAGCTAGTTCAGGGCCAGTCAATGCCAAACCTCCAGGCCTGTGAAGGATTCTGGCCTTGTGACCAATAGAACACAGTGCAAGATTTTAATCAGAGGTATGAGGAGTGCTGCATTTTGAAAGACACATAACTTGCAAGTTCCTGACTTTCTATAGATTCCAAGGTATGGGAAAAGAGAATCAGAAACATGATACTCATTCACAGGGCACATTTGGAAGTTATTGCACATACATAAAAACATAGTACAACTTGGAAAGTTCAAGTGCTATACCTTTTCTGTTATTTTCAATTTTCTATTAGTCTTTGCTTTATAATTATATACCTGCAATATCAATTCCTATTTTATAAGGAAATGGAGCCCTTAGTGGCTGAAAGTATCTATTTATAAATATAAATTTAAGTGAAAATATTGCAAATTTTTTGAATGACTTCTTCAAGATTAAAAATTGCAATGTGTCGGCCGGTGCCATGGCTCAGTAGGCTAATCCTCTGCCTGCGGCGCCAGTACCCTGGGTTCTAGTCCCGGTTGGGGTCCCGGATTCTGTCCCGGTTGTTTCTCTTCCAGTCCAGCTCTCTGCTGTGGCCCAAGAAGGCAGTGGAGGATGGCCCAGGTTCTTAGACCCTACACCCGTATGAGAGACCAGGAGGAAGCACCTGGCTCCTGGCTTCAGATCGATGCAGCGCGCCGGTTGTGGCAGCGTATTGTGAGGTGAACCAATGGAAGGAAGATCTTGCTCTCTCTCTCTCTCTCTCTCTCACTATCTAACTCTGCCTGGCAATAAATAAATAAATAAATAAATAATTCAATGTTGACAAGATATAGGAATCAAATGATTTGTGATATAACCAACTTTCCACTCAGTGCTTGTATAAAGATAAAGGGAGTACTTATCACCAGTTCTTGTATGATTAACAAAGCTAATGGAAGAAGAGTTTTTATGGTATGTTTTATATTTACATTGAAATCACTTAATTTTTTATTTCATTAATTTAATATTCCATTATTTGTATAGATAGTTCAGAAAAAAATCTTAAAAGTAGCAAGGAACAAGTAACTAGGCATAGTTTTGAATATGGTTTGTCAACACTTTCCATCACACTCAGTAGCATGTTACAGAATTACAGCCAAACTCAGAAAACATGTGAGTTGCAGAAACTCCAAATATTAACTGTAAAACAAGAAAAAAAATTAGTACCTGTCTCCTGACATATTTTTGCACATATGCTCCTTCTACCTAATTGTCACCAAAATGTTTTCACTAGAATCATTCTTTGGAGTTAGACCATCCCCCAAAATAAGCTAATTAAACTTTATTATTGATTGTAAATTATAAGCTAGTGTTTCAAATACCTAGTGTTCTCTTTAATTACTACAGCCATCTTATTAGTGAGCAATCATCTTCAACATTTTTCAAATGGGAAACTATCTGCAATATCACATTCTGATAAGTGGCAAGACAGAACTTTAACATTGTCTGTCTTACTCTCAAATCCTTCATCTACATCCACCTACATTTCCAAGAATCACATTAAAATAGACTCATATTTCAGAGCCTGAAAAGCAAGGATTATAGGAAACTGCCATGTCTTCTTCTCCAAGGGCTCCTATTTGTCAATGGCCAAAACATTCAGCACAGAGTGTGTCATTTAAAGTGATTAACTACTGAGCAACTAAAATGGGGTTTTAAGGGAATGAGTCACATTGGGGAACACCAGTAAGAGACCAAGAGTCAAGGAGAGACTTGAAGTTGTACCATCAAATTGGGAAAAAGAATCGCAGCTTAACATGGACTCACACATATTTCTCTGACTTCACAGTGTATTCTATTACCAGACTTTGCATTATTCAAAGGTATTTGCATAAGATACTACAGATCAAGCTATCTCAGCCTACACGCTGTTGGCATTTGAGCAGAATTATTCTTTGTCAAAAGAGACTGGCCCATGCCTCGATAATGCTTACAGAATCTCTTGCCTTTAACCACTACATGCCAACAGTGTCTCTTCCTCTAAGTTTGACAACCAAAAATGCCTACAATTGTACACAAACGTCCCCTGGGCAGCAAAATCACCAGAGGGTAAGAACCAGAGGGTAACAACTATTCTGAGGAATACTTTGTGGAAGTACATATTGAAGAATTTTCTGGCCAAGCTAAGTCTAGGCTTATTAATAGTATAGTATCATATCAATCCTTTCTAAAGTGATAATATAACTCAGAACCAGTGAAAAGATTTCAAGTAGTTTGTGAACTCAGAGGTTAGTGAAATGAAGAGAAGCAAAGTAAGCAAATTGTCTAAGAGTGCCACTGGTAGACGTGAGTGGGATCAATATGAACTCTGTGAGCTGACTATACATTTTTATGAGTGTAATCATTTCTGGAAATCATTTGGTATCATGCATTAGACTAACCAATTTAAAGAATGATTGGCCAAAGGAAAGAAATTGCATAGCCAATAAAATTGATAACAAATTTGAGAGAAATCGAGTACTAACCTTAGAAAAGCTGTTTATGTGTACTATCCGTGAGAAATATTCATTCTGAAGATATATTCACAGCATGCCATTAAGTTAATTGTAAATTAAGAGTATAATATATGTCTGGTACAGAAATGGATAACTTAGGGACTCACAGGCTATTTTAGTGCCTGGTTAACCAAACATTGATTTCTATGAAAAATCGAATCTGCAAATAGGAAAGAGCTTGAAAGTAGGCTGCACTTAAGGTGAAATTGTGCAAAATTAACGTAGGCTAGCAGTTGGCCATTTCTGGAACATCTTATAATGTGGCAATTGTTTTGTATAAACTCAAACAAATATAAATCATTGTCTCAAGACTCCTAAGGGACCTGGCACAATCTTTCCACAGGGACATCTTCTTTTACAGCCTCATTACACTTGCCAGTGATTCATGGGTGTTAGGCTTGACTGAGTAGGGTGGAAGGGGCTAAGGAACTCAGTATGCTATATTTCAACCATGCAAATGAGCATATTTCCCTGAGACTAAACAGCAGCATTTCTAAAAGAATTAGATTCATCTCTGTCTATTCCTATTATTCTCTTGTTGAGATTTGCAAAGTAATCTGAGTCCATGAGAAAAAATTCTCAGTATAGCATGTTTAGCATAGCATTGCATCTTAAATGCTGGACAGAGCAGTTTTAAGGATTATCAAGAAAGACTCTGATGGGGGTGAATATAGGGATCACAAGGGGCAAGAGCAATGTGTATGAAATGGAACTGAATTCAGGACAAAATCTATTGAACTTCAGCTATGCCAAATATGTTCTATAGCACTCTCTGGGCCAAGTTGTGAGCCAGAGAAAGAAATTCTTCATTCTGGGACAGAGTGAGATCTGGCACACTCTTGACAAAACACTGGTTACAAAGCCCTCTGTACTTAGATCAGTACCACCAATGCTTTCCTTGATTACCTTTAATCCAGGGCAGTGGGGACAAACGTTTTACATAAGGAGAAGGAGAGAAAGGGGAGACTAAACACTCACCTCCCTTGATACACCTAAGCAAATTGAGAACACAATGTTTTATTTAACTCAGTGCCTGTTGCATTGTCCACCATGCTTTGTGCATTGAAAATCCTGCAAAAAAAAAATAAATAAAATAAAATAAATAAACAAAAAATACAATTACTCAAGTTCTGTAAAACTGAAATTTTCCTTTAATGGTTAGCTAACTAAATTGCTATATTTAACCATAAGTTGTACTCTGTCAGGCAGATTATTTAGGCTTTTTTAGGAAACCATATTCCCAAGTCTTCAGTATTTCCATTCAGACATTTGTATCTAGGTGTTCTAACAGTTGACAATTATGTTGTATGAAATTAAGCCAAAAACTATAAAAACTTACACACATAAAGCATAAATAGGAAAAATTTGTCTATTTTTAGAAATGTAAAACAGAAATTCTCTAAGTTGCTAGACTACAAGTGGTTTCAATAAATTAAGCAGATTAAGTATTACAGATTATTACTAGAAATAGCATTGAAAACCATGAGCAAGCGGAACATAAAAAGCTTATGTGTATTTCTGACATGGCTTTCAAATTTTAATACTAAGCACTCATGTACTGTCATTACAGGAAATGTGAAATAAGTTAAAAATATATAGTTCATTTATTATATCAGAAAGTACTGTTTCAGACAATATCTATTCAAAATATAGCTGTAGACGTAGATATATGTAAAAAATAAAAATCCGATATCCATAAATCAAATTTATTTTCAGGTTGGATTTTAATTTCTGATCTTTGGATTTATATATCTAACTACTAGTTGGTTATCACAACTTCTATAGTATAGGATAGTTGAAACTTTAATACAACAAAAATTGACTTAATCATATTTCCTTCTAACTTAGTGGCTCCTTGGTAAAACCATTTAGAATAAGCAAAATATGTCTCCCTTCCTCTCACAAACTGAATTAATTAAATTAATCCCTGGTCTGATGATTTTTGCATTCTATTTTCTTAACTATCAAGATCCAATTCTCTACACCATTATTGCCATAGCCCTTGTCTGGATTCTCATTACATTTTATTGGAGGATTGCAGAAGTACTTCTCAATCCTGGATTTGTTCCCCTCAATAACTCAATACCTCTACCTCTTGTAGACCTCACTGCTGCAAAGTAGCTACAGCTAATCATCTGCAGTATGGCACCCTTAGAATTCATTGTCTTTGTTCACGCTGCCACCTGCAGGCTTACTCCTTGCAACCCTCAGCACATATTATATCATCTATAATTCTGCAATTATTCATCCTTGTTTTCTCTAGACCAAAAGAAAAAATTATGTCATAGCTCTTTTTATGACAAGGGTCAGGCAAAGAACTTTGTCTAAAGTAGATACTGATAAAATGTAAACTTTGGGATATCAAAACATTTTAAAAATTAATTTATGTTTATGTGAGAGGCAATGACAGAGGAATCTAGAGCATGAGAGAGAGAGAGAGAGGGAGAGAAAAAGAGAGATGTCCTATATGCTGGTTCATTCTCCAAAAGCCTACATCAGCTGAGTATGCATCAGGCTAAAGTCAGGGGCTGGAACTCAGTCTAGGTCTCCTACTTGGTTGGCAGGGACTCAGATATTTGAGCCATCACCTGCTGTCTCTGGAATGTGCAATAACAGGAACAGGGATGGACTCAAACACAGGCCCTATGATAGGGAATGCAGGCATCTCAAGACATGTGACATGCTAACCACTGCTCCAAAAGCCTAGCCTGCAGGCTCAAAATTTAAAAAATATTTTTGTTTGTTTTTTGTGTATTTTTTTTCGATTGGGTAGAGTGCAATGTCCCTACTCAGAGACTCATCTACAAAGTCTCCAATTTCTTTCTGGTGTTTATATTGAGCTTCAGTTTGATTAGGAAGGAATCTAAGCTAAGGGGCTGGCTCAGTCTAATGGCCCCCTACTCCCCACAAGAAAACATTCAACAGTACTGAATAGTTATTGAATGAATTATCTGATACAGGATTGAATCACAGTGATGGCCTTGACTTATAGAGGATCATGCTGCACCCAGAGCAAACAATCTTCTAAATTACAATGGTTCAATGAAATAGAAGTTGTTTTTTTTTTTGTTTTGTTTTTTATTTTTTTTTTTTTTTTTTTTTTTTTTTTTTTTGAGGCAGAGTGGACAGTGAGAGAAAGAGACAGAGAGAAAGGTCTTCCTTTGCCGTTGGTTCACCCTCCAATGGCCGCTGCGGCCGGCGTATCACGCTGATCCGAAGGCAGGAGCCAGGTGCTTCTCCTGGTCTCCCATGGGGTGCAGGGCCCAAGGACTTGGGCCATCCTCCACTGCACTCCTGGGCCATAGCAGAGAGCTGGCCTGGAAGAGGGGCAACCGGGACAGAATCCAGCGCTCTGACTGGGACTAGAACCCGGTGTGCCGGCGCCGCAGGCGGAGGATTAGCCTATTGAGCTGTGGCGCCAGCAGGAATAGAAGTTCTTTATCCATCACCTAACAGTCCAGTGTGGTTGCTACTTGCCAAGAGGTGGCTTTCTGCCATATAGAATCCAAATTCTTTCCATTTTGAAGGGCCAAGATCTTTAAGTGGGTCTTGTTGTCTTGTAATCAGCAGAAGATATGGGATAAATTGTATAAGATCAGACCACATCTTCTAGGGTCTGGCATTGTGGCATAGCAGGTAAAGCTGCCATCTGTGAAGCCATTCTCCCATATGAACGCCATTTCCTGTTCTAGTTGCTCCATTTCTGATCCAGCTGCCTGCTAATGGTTTGAGAAAAGCAGCAGAAGATGGCACTGGATATCTTGGACTCTGATATTCAAGTGGGAAACCTGGAAGAAGCTATTGGCTCCTGGTTTCCGCCTGGCCCAATGATGTCCTTGTGGCCAGCTGGGGAGTAAACCAGCAGATTGAAGATCTCCCTCCCTCTCTGTTTCCCTGTCTCTGTAACTCTTTCAAACAAACAAATAAATAAAATCGTTTAAAAATAAATTATACCAGGGCTTAAAACCTCACATTAACAAGAACTGGACACAAAAAACAAATCCAAAAGGAAATAAAGCAAGAGGGTATTTAATTTTCTGGGAAGCTACTTGCATGAAAATTCTTCCTGTGACTATACTGTAGATAGCTTTTCAGCATGCCTTAAGAGAGAAGAAGCATGTGTATTGTTTTGGAAGGGAGATGACATTTTCTGGATTTCAGTTATCTGGATAAGGCCCTTGGATAGGTTTTATTGACAACCCTGTACGTGATTTGGGTAGTATCAGCTTTGAGGATGCTTTTCCAAAACAATCAAACCCATACAACCTTTGTTTGGACCTGCAGAAAATTATAAGACTTGCCCAATGAGATTAGACATATGGAATAGCTCAGATCTCCCTGCAATAATTACATCTCACCTTCTTCAAACCAGATGTTCTCTAGTACAGGGATAGCTGCAAGTTTGCTGAAGCAGGTGCAGGGCTTCCAAACAGTTCTACTTTTCATACACTACAATTTAGAATAAAAGAAAAAGTCACTTTTCTACCTTTCAAAATAGTCCTCAGGTTTCACTTACCAAAAGCATCCATTTTGAGGGAATTGCTAGATTTCTTTATATGAATAATCAAATAACTCTATCAGCAATTGCCGCAATCCCCAATTTGAAGTATGTGGGATTAAATGAGAAACTTGCCCAATGGAAATAGGCAGGTGCTATATAAACACATCTGTAGGTCATTTAGAAATTACTATCATCACTCTTTTCATTAAAGTGACATGCATATATTTAGAAACTGCTTTTCAAAAACCTAATGAAAGACTGTCCTTGATAACTTCTATATATGCTCACCTATAAATCAGCATTAAAGTCCTTTACATAATGAGCTGCGGGTTGTTGGAGGGGACTATGATCTCTGCTCTCATTTTATTTATAAAAAAAAAGTAGACTGGAAATTGATGTTTGTATAGATCTTTCCTGCATTTGTTGTCACTGTTTGCATTTAAAGTTATTTCCTTCACACTGTCATAGTCTTAAGTAGTAATTTTATAATATCACTTTTCTACTAACACTGAGAATACTGAATTATAATATGGAAAGAATTACATAGTTAAAGGCATATCAAAACCCTTGTGTATGCTTCTTATGTTAAAAGTCTCAGAGCAACTCTATTGAGTTCATTGCATAGCTTTAGTAAATTATTGATGCTTACATGATGTCATGGACAAAGTGTACATTTGTATGTGAGAGTTACAACAGCTGTTTTCTGCCTGACCACTCAAAGTCTCATGCAGTCTTGTCTCTCAGTCCTGTGTCTATGGAATCCCTCTGCTACACAACAATGCACAGGAGGTCCAGCTATAAACTTGTTAAAGAAATAATAGATCTCTACGATCACCTCACACACAATTTCCAAATTTAATCTGCCCTGTGCAGAGTTTTATATGAAGTCATTTCATAGCGTGTGTATATTGAGAAAGATAACAAGCATACATAATTCACTGAAATGGACATCTGTCAGAGGTAAATCACTGATCTTTTTTTTTTTTTAACATGGAAATCTGCAAACAAATCCACAGAAGCAAAATATAATGCAAATAGGATGTTAACTTCTGATTAAAACTCCTGTGGATCCCATTTATACCATTTCTCGATCTGTGCTAGAATTAAAATCCCCCAACGCTCCAAGAAATCTTTGGTGTAGCCAATGCTATCAACACTGGAGTCTCATTTGAAAACTCAGTTTAGTCTTCACACAAAGCACGCACATCTTAATATGCTCAGTTTCTACTATTTATTAGATAAATGCTTGGGTTGCTTTGATTATATCTTTTTGTATAGACAGCCCAAGCAACTGAGAGAGACTTTATTGTGTCTCTGGTTGTGTTTTCTCTGCTTTACGGCTATCACCTGAAGCAGTTGCCCAGTGCTAGATGACGTCGGAGGCTTTTGGGGTTAACTACAATCCCTCCACCAAGATAGATGACAGAACGGGGAGACTTATTTAGGCTAAGGCGTTCCCAAAAGAAATAGCTTTTTCAGAGAAATCAATGTGCGGTATTTGTCTCATTAGAGTGATATTACTGTTTTATGACTAAAAGAATGGATTATAAAATATACACCCCAACAGGAAGCTCTCCACTATACCAGTTCTTCTTTCCACAGCATATTTATTTTCCCAATTAAATCTGGCAGTCCCATAAAAATGATAGCAGGATGATCACAAAAACGTGCATTTCTTTTTCATTTTTAGTTTCTCTTCCTTTTAAACATCGTGCTCGTTCTATTTGAAGGTGAAAGTACAAGCTGTGTTTTCAAGACATGTTTTTCCTCAGTAGAATTATGTCATGGGGAAACACTATGGATATCCATCAAAGTGAAACCTACAAGGACATAAGAGCTCGTTATTAGTGAACATTGTTTGTAACCTTCAGATGGCTTCAGTATTTCTGTCACAGAATGGCAAGCAGAATGAGAGATTAAAGCACATCATAGCCTTAAAATTAGCAACACCACATAAATTATGGTTCTTATTCGAATATAAAAGGATCTATTTTTTATTCTAAAGTAATGAATTCTTACAGCCTCTGATATTTGTAATAAAATGTTACAGTGGGTTCAAGTTCAGTCAGGTCAAGGCTGGCTTCAGGTTAACACAATTGATTGAAACCTGCTAAAGCTTCCTAGCAGATAGAAGCAATCACTTCAGTCAGGAAACTAAGCCGAGGCTCATCCCCTTGTGGTTCTCATGCCTATTCTGGATCGAGTGCTTGTTCCAATTATGAAATATTTGAAGACACGAATGAGGAATGTTTAGGGTTCTATAGCACTGGAAAATGACAGAATGCTCTTGTTCACACCCTCCTGCAAATGATGGTAACTCATTTGCAATTAGATCTTTTTTAAGTCTTTAAAAATAATTTTGATAGGTGTTTTTTTTCTTATCCATGTTCTAATAAACCTTTAACAACATGTAAGAGCGTCAGATGAGCGTTCAGATGAAAAGAATAATTATCTAGAAACTTTGTGGGTCCAGATTTGGAGGGCTTTCTTTTACATCCTCCTTCTTCCCCTCCCCCACTTTCTTTCTTCCATTTTTTAGATACCTCCACATTCAAAGAGGCTTGATGAAATGATGAGGAATGTTGGGGTGTTGGAATGAAGGCTGCAATCTGCTGTAATGGAAGAGGGCTTTTCTCTTTGCCACCCTGACTGATTCAGTTAATGTGTGTATCTATGACCTTGGCAATTTTCCGCAAATGTACTTGAAGTGAAGAGAACTATACTTCAGGCAAAATATCATAGCAATCAAGACCTTTGGTGGCTAAATTGACTAAAAATATTTGCCCTTTTTCAATTTATTTCGTTTCTGTTAGTAATAGCCTTGGTTGACAGAGGGATTACTGGGTGCTTTCATTGGAATTTATGAACAGAATTCAAGTTGGAGGAAAGTAATTCACTGGTTTTATGCATGACATATCCTTAAAATGAGAACCCATTGTGCTGTATATATGTTGTTTGTTTACTTGTGGAATGATAATCTCCAGAGACAACATTTGAAAATGCATATTCAGGAATTTGAAAAGCTGAGATAATTTGCTCTGTATGTCAAGGACATACGTAGACCTGAAAATCCATAAAAATTGGTAAACTCTCACATTTAAACTTTGAAACAGTACAATTGGAACTTTTTTTTCTGTTGAGCATCTCTCAGGAAGATGATCATTCTTATAATTGAAATTATCATATGCATCCTGACCCTAATTTGGGAAAGTTTAATATTGGGTTCACACTAAGCAATCATAGAAGCAATTATGGGCACTTGTCCTGGGGCTCCATAGCCCAGGTGCTGCTGACTGATTGTCGTTTGGTAATTACCTTGGTACTTCCCAACTACTTCATAGCATCAGTTAAGCCATGCGACATACTTCAACTAAGTGACGTCTCCTCGGAAGTGCAAGTTAATGCTTAATTATTTACTTAGCTGCTGCATATAGGGTGCTCTCTGTTTATCTGAAACGCTGATGTTTAATGAAAATTGTCTTCTGAAAGACATGCATGCAAGTGACATTAAGATGAAATCTTTGTCATTTGCCACACAGTTTCTTTTGAAATATGGAAATTCCTTAAATAATAGTGATGATAGAGGCATTGCCAACTTTGGGATTTTTTCAAGTCTTTGAAGTCTGACTTTGCAGAACAGATTGTAAATCTCTGGCCCATTACACACCTGCAGAGATTTTGGTGTTTTATTTCTCTTGGGTGAAACTGCAGAAGCCCAAACCATGTTAATCACTGTCAGAACCAGTTGTATAAAATGCCAAAATGCAGTGAACCAAGTGTTTTATAATAAATATGACAATGCAGTCAGAATGTTGTTTTGTTAGGCTTGTTATTTGTGGTAATTTTTCATTTATAATCTTTGAAACAAGAGAGTTATAAGGCTTTTATCAGAAAAATTTTTAACCACAGGGGAGAAATCACCATATTGTGTAAGACTCTAAGGGCTTTTATAATTAATTCATACAAAATTAATAAACTAAAGTAATGGTAGTGTTTGCTAAAAGCATCATAAAATGCTTGTTTTTGAAAAAAAACACAAATATTAACATCAATCCTAAAATTTGGCCTGCGATGTTAAAAAGAACCAATTTTCTTATTGCATTATTTTATGACGATTTTCTATTTTGTATTTTTTTCCTTTTAACGGAATCTTATATTTTATATAGGATTTAGCAGATATTTGAGTTTGGTATTTGAGCATGGTAACATACAATAAAACCAAGGCTAGGTAAACCGCTATTTTTCTGTGAGCTTCTACAATGTTTAGACCCTAATTTCAGATTGCTTATTCACGGCTGGAAGCTTTAAATCAAGATTGCAAGGTCCTGGGGCAGTATCATATCCATGTTTATTTGCCATTATATTATATATCCCCAAGGATTACTTAGCACATAGCCAGGAGTCAATACATATTTCTTTAGCAAAGGGGTTAACTAAATGATTAATTGCTACAACAAGTATGAAAAAGAAGATATACTATATTATACCAAACTATATGATTTTTGAAGATCAGCATAGCAGAAACTTGCTAAGCTTCTATTGCCTTTTTTCAGCCCTGTGACTGAATTGAAAAGAAGTAGGATTAAAATAAATGCTATGATATATATTTCTTTGTCCCATACTGTCAGGTTTTTAAAGTTACTTCTACACACATGTACTACATACAAAGGCACATTAAAAGCTGGCAAAGGGGCAGATGTTTGATGCAATGGTTAAAATGGCACTTGGGATGCCCATATTTCCCATCTGGAAGTGCGGCTTCCATCCAGGCTCTGGTCCTGTTTCAGCTTCCTGCAAATGAGCATTGTGGGAGACAACGAGTGATGGCTCAAGTAGTTGAGTCACTGGTACTCAACTGGGAGAGCAAGATTATCTGTCCAGCTCCTTGCTTTGGCTTGGCTCAGCCCAGACTGTTGCAGGCATTAGGGATATGAATCAGGAGACAGAAGATCACTGTCTGTCTGTCTCTATCTCTCTGCCTTTCAAATAAAAATAAATAAATAAATATAATAAGAATTACATGGAAAATGAAAAGATGTTTATTTTGGTTAAAATGCAATTAAAAGATCATTTTTTTGGTGCAAACTTTTTTTAAAGTACATGCATACATCTTTCCCAATAAGCATTTCCACATACTTACATAAAACATTTGAGATCAGAAATCTGCAGTTAGAGACTACCTGAAGCCAAGGATAAGAATTTTTCTACACTATGATGAGAATCAGAGTAATACATTCTCCTCATTTGTGTCTTGAGGGATATTTAGGGAACAACATCAATGAAATTATTGAATGAAAAAAATACCACTAATGAATTATCCACAAAAATTAATGTGGGTACATTTTTCATGGCTCCTTAGCAAAGATGTCTTTTCAATAACTTTTGCAATTACTAAAGCTATTATCCACTGAATTTTGTGTATGACGAGGGCTCTTGAATACGTATAACTTTTCAGTTTCAATGCTCTGGGTTATACATCACTAACTATTGTTCAAAGGAGATAGAGACGCATTGTGTCCTTCACAGACCAGTAGCTTCTGATGATCTAATTTTATCTTCAACAATAGTTACAAGTAAGAGCAAAAAACACAGTGTGGAGCGTGCTGTTTTAGCTATTGTACACCTACATGATTAGATGGGAATGGGCTAAGCACTGTGTAGACCAGTATTATTTCCAGATGTTTCTCCACAGTCAGTGCTTAAGTTTTCCATGGTAATAAAATATGAAGTTAGAATTAGAGATTATCAGATGAGAGGCATACACATACCAGACATAAGCATTTTAGCTAAGCATGTGAAATCTATGTTTCTCTTGCCATCTTCATACATTTTACAGACTTAGACACATATATTCTAAAGTGGTAAACTAAAAAAGACTCTACAGGTCTCCTTTAAAGCACAGCAAGCTTGATCCTAGCAGGAAGATAATACCTTTCTAATTATTTTTGTAGAGTGTTTAGATATCTAAAGCAGAGTAAAGAAATGAATGCCCTCATTCTTTACTCTCTCACTTCTTAAGGATCCCTAAGGATCACACTGTGGAACAGTAGGACAGTGGATTAAGCTACTGCTTATGATGCCTGCATCCTATATCAGAGTGCTGGTTCAAATCCTGGCTGTTCCGCTCCATCCAGCCCTCTAGTAATGTGCCTGGAAAAGCAGCAGATGATGGCTCAAGTGCTTGTGCCCCTGCCACCCATATGGGAGACGTGGATAGAGTTGTGAGCTCCTAGCTATGGTCTGGTCCAGCCCCGGCCATGGCAGCCAACTGGGGAGTGAACCAGAATATAGAAGATCATTCATTCTCTCTCTCTCTCTCTCTCTCTCTCTCTCTCTCAGCCACCCCCCCTTACTCCCTTCTCTCTCTTCTCTCTTATCTTTCCACCTCTTCCTCTCTTCCTCTCTCTGTGTCTCTCTGTTACTCTTCCTTTCAAAGAAATAAAATAAATCTTAAAAAAAAATTAAAAACCCCTCACTATACCACATTCTTGTCAGTTGTAAACACTATGTGCTAGTTGAAGGTATATTGCAATTCTCTGCTTCCATCCCAGCTAAACTTCAACTGTATCATGATCAAGTGACCACAACAGATCTTTGAGAAAACTAAAATCTAATGTAAATAAACGACATTTCAAGTAGTTGTGAATTATCTCTTTTTAAAAGATCTATTTATTTGAAGTCAGAGTAACAGAGAGGCAGATGCAGAAGGAGAGAGAGAGAGAGAGAGAGAGAGAGAGAGATAGGTCTTCCATTTGCTGATTCACTTCTGAGATGGCCACAACAGCCAGAGCTGCACTGATTCGAAGCCAGGAGCCAGGAGCTTCTTTGGGATCTCCCACATGGGTGCAGAGGCCCAAGGATTTGGGCCACTTTCACATGGCTTTGCAGGCCATAGAAGAGAGAGCCGGCGCCGTGGCTCAATAGGCTAATCCTCCACCTTGCGGCGCCGGCACACCGGGTTCTAGTCCCGGTCGGGGCGCCGGATTCTGTCCCGGTTGCCCCTCTTCCAGGCCAGCTCTCTGCTATGGCCAGGGAGTGCAGTGGAGGATGGCCCAGGTGCTTGGGCCCTGCACCCCATGGGAGACCAGGAGAAGCACCTGGATCCTGGCTCCTGCCATCGGATCAGCGCGGTGCGCCGGCTGCAGCGGCGGCCATTGGAGGGTGAACCAACGGCAAAGGAAGACCTTTCTCTCTCTGTCTCTCTCTCACTGTCCACTCTGCCTGTAAAAAAAAAAAAAAAAAAAAAAAGAGAGCTGGATCTGAAGTGGAGCAGCCAGGACTCTGACACTGCAGGTGGTGGCTTTACCTGCTATGCCACAGCGCCGGCCCCTATCTATCTCTTCTTATACTATTCTTTTTTCCCCAAATTTTTTGGTAATGAGTTTTATTAGGGTTAAAGAAATTACTGAAGGAAACCAGAATTTTTAAATGATCTTAATTCTAATTAAACAGCAACTTATGGTAATGAACCCTGAATATAAATAAGGGTTAAGTTGTCAAAGATTAATGATGGCAAATCAGATCAAAGCACTCGCATAATTTTTGTAAAACAGTTTGTATGAATTTACTACGGTGTCGCTCCCCCTCTTCGCGGAGGAACGACACAAGACCCTGCGTTGTTCTTTTGCCTGCTCGGCCCTCCCCGGGTTTGCTGCTGGTTCTTCCCGGGTTGGCTACCGACCCTTCCACCTCCGTGGAAGGGCGGTTCCCCCTGCCACTTTCCCCACTTCCGCGGGGGAGTGGCACACCGCCGGCCAGCTCTCTCGGGGGCTGCTCAGATGTTCCTCAGGTGTTCCTGGTGCATGTTGTCTCTCTCCTCCTTTATAGTCCTCTTCCGCCAATCCCAATTCTGCTACCCACACGCCGAGTACGCTGCTCTCCTCCAATCAGGAGCAGGTCCTGCTGTTTATTGGTTGAACTGGAGGCAGCTGTGTAGAAGCTGTTTCCTCCTCTCCCAGGGCCATATTGTGGGAGAGCAGATGCATAGAATAAGTCTTAATTCCAGTAACAGTCTAGTCCGAGTTGCTCCCCACACTACGGAAAGAAAGTCTTACTTGCACTTAAAATTTTTTGTTCTTTTCTCATAATTTGTGGAACTGTGAAATAGCAATAATTTAAAAAGGTATAGTGCAAGTGTCTGAAGATCCATTGACTATATCCCCTTGGTCTTTGACACATCCCTCAAGTATTCCTGTGTTAAAGAAAAATTAACTTCATGCAGTAATCCTAAAGGAAATCACCACTGGAATTTTATAAGATATTTAAATAAAATTATGATTTTTTAAATGACCCAAGATATATTTTGGGACCTCAAGGACTGAAAGAAATATTTTTATTTAAACAATTGCAAAATTAAAAGACAGATTAAAAGAGAAATTACATTCCTGTCTAAAAAGACTATCAAACGCAAAAAAAAAGTATGGAAGAAAGTCATAGGTCTTTCATTACATTAATGATTGTAAATGCTGAGCTACACTGACTTTGAAAAAAATTATGGGTTTTGTTTATATAATTTTGTATCTATATACGTTTAATTCCTAAAGATCAACCAGAGACAAGTTTAACTGGACAGAGCACAATCAAATGGAGTTGGATTATACAGGTATCCAGGGTCACATTAAAGATGTTCAGCTATTTTGAGGCCTAATATCAGAAATTCAGTAAAGTGCCAAAAATCCTATTTCTAACTCATTCTTAGTGCTACATTGTCACTATCCAGACTTTTATTGACTTCCCAGAGAGGAAATATTTAGTCCTTCATTTATCATCAAATATTTTAACTAATTACTGTATACTATACACATATTCATAATATATTTTATATTTTGTAATCTCCAAAATAAGATTATCCTATAAGTATACTAGCCACATTTTCAATGAGAGGACATTCAATCAGCAATGAAATACTGTTCAAAACTGATGGCCCTTACATGATCGTGGGGGTGGAATTGGAAGTCAAATCTATTTGATTCCAACTAAAGTTCTTTCCACTACATAACTTCACTTTTTCTTCCAGTCTTTTATTACTATTCAACTTCTCATCCTTTCCAATAAAGACAAATCCACTCTCTTTTTAGTTCCCAAGAAGGAAGTGAAAGAACAGAAAATTCAAGTTACACGCAACAATAATAACACCAAACTGATTTTGAATTGGAGACCAAATGATTGCTGGTCTACTGAAACTTAATGTACAAAATGTTTTCTCAACCTTTAACTTATATAAATAAAAAGTTTCAAAATTTAGCTACCAATTACTTTCTTCAGATAATTCAGCACAATTAACCCTTCTAAGTGAAAACATTTCAATATCATATTTCCAAGGCAATTATACTCTAAGATAAAATATGTTGTACTAGTAATGAATGTACTGATGATAATTTCCATATTGTTGTATATATTTCAGTAACCACTTTTAAGTTACCTAAGTACATATAATAACAAATAGACATTGGATACCTGTGATGATCAGTTTTTATTCTAAACATCCCATACCATGTAATTTAATCTTCATAATAACCCAATAAAATAGAAACTAACAACATCCCATAGTCAAAATCATTGTCAAATACACCTAAGTGCATGGACTCCAGATCCTCCATACTAGAATGCTTTGTACTGTAGGTTTTCCTCTTATATGACTCCTGAATTATAGGCATGTTCCTTAACTGCACTTGAGATTTAGCATATTATTATAAACTATATCCCAATGGATTGAGTAACTGAAGTAGTAATGTGAAGTAGTGTGACATTTGTAATACAATCTCGCTGCAGGGACCATGAGACAAAGTTTTTGTATAATTAGCAGCAGAGTTAACTAATCGGTTGATTAATTTAAACTACTTGAACCATCATTTTATTACTCTCATTGGAAATGTACCAGAGGAGAAAAAATTAGAGTGAAACATGCTAAGAATGTAATATATGAAGGAAAACTCTAAAAAGAAAATGAAGCTGTTGAACATACTAGAAATTATTCAAGAGACTAAGAATTTGTCATTAATGCATAGATGTATAAAAAGTAGACAGAACATTACCTACAAGCCTATATATTAGGCAAAGAAGATACGCATGGTTATTAACTATTTATTTTGAATTTCTTCCTGTTATCTTAATGAAAGGTATCATCCTGTCAGTGTTTCTGAGGAAGATCCTTTTTTGGCTACCCCCATACCCAAATTACCGCACAACTTCACAGGCAACATTTTAAAATGTTTTCAATAATAATTTGTCTTAAAAGTGACAAGTTTTAAGAACTTAAGAAAATATCTATATTTAAAATATAGTGCCACAAAGACAGTGTTTTCAATGAACTAGAAGAAGCAAAATGTTTCTATTGAAACTTTCCTTAAGCAAGTAAATATTTCACAGCTATCAAAACATTTATGAAATTCACTAGATAGTTAAATGGAAAATATTTCCCACTTGCCAGATCTGCTCCCACTTTCATTTTATTTGCTCTTATTTTCTGCTGTTTTCTTATTTGTAATGAGTTCATAATAATGAACATGATATTTGGTTAATGAAGAATGCATTTCATATTTAGAGATCTACATATTTATGTGACCTTCTTTTGTTCCTAAATGCTAATATTTATTCCCTCTTTGTTGAGATTTATTTTGTGTTTTGTGACAAACAAAAGTACGATTAGTGAAGCTGTAAAGTTCTCATGGTAGCGGCCTGTGTTCCCAAGATAGCAGCATTAGTGTCTACAGAAGCAGTTAATGCTGTTTATCATTAGTGACAGAGGCTGGGAAGGACCTTCTGTGGCTTTTATCTTTCACCTTGCCAACAGAAGTTGATGAGCTTTCTGATTTAAATTCATAGGTGATGCTCCAGGATTTTTATGCACTTCACATGGACAAGCACACAGGTAAACCTATCCAGCTGATGGAGTCTAATTAAAATCATCCTAACATTCTAATACTGGACATCCATGGGAAAATCACACTTTATCCATATTTAATGTCAGAGTTGCCCAATGGAAAATGAATAATAATATAGCTTATGGAATAATTATCCCCTTTCTGCCTTAGACAGTGTTTATCATATTATGCCATGACTTATTTTAGGGACATACCAAGTAATGAATGTAAGGCATATTTTTATGATAAACATTTTTATTAATTTGAATTGTAGTAGCTACAGGTATTTTACGACAAGGGAATTCCAGTGGTGTGGCACATTTGAATAAATATTGATCATTTCTCGTGTATAAAATTTTCCAGTGTGTGGACAAATGACAGTCATCAATAGAAAATTAAAATTTGCAGTGTGATTTATTTGATTTTAAGTGAATGTTTAGGCAGCTTTTGGTATTATAGAATTGCTTTCTACTTTAAGATTGTGTTATATATTGTCCAAAAATATAATATAGAATTTAGTATTCCCTAAATTTTTCAGAAATCATTGTGTGTGATTGATTTTCTATGTTCTGATATTAGAAACATCTCTCTGTAATTGGAGATCACACACTATAATGTTTTAAAATTTTAAATTGAATAAATCTTATTAAATTATTACTATGCTTTCTAAAAAACTGAACAATTTTGTCTTGGCCACAAAATAAAATATAAGCTCTTTACTATAAAATGGATCTTACTTGTCTATTCACCTATTCATTTTTTTCTCATTGCATTTTTCTCCCTCAGACTTACAAGCTGTCATCTCAACTCCTCTTGATTTCCTTCCCTCCACTTCACAATAAATATTCCCTCTTCAGAGAAATCTGTTTCTCTTGCCTTTCCTTTAAAAATCTACTGTTTCCACACATGCCTATCTTAGCACCCTGGGTGGTAGTTGGCACTACATTAATTACTGACTTTATTTAGTGTGTGTGAGACATAAGCTGTTGAGGACACACTGGATACCTCATACTCACCATCTAACCCTAAGAATGACACCAACCACAACCTGGGTATACTGGATTCTTGAAATTGACAAAGTTTCAGTATGAAGGGAGAATTACTTTTTTTGTCTTCTATGAAAATATAAATACTTAAGGCTGGCACTGTGGCGTAGTAGGTTAAGCCTCTGCCTGCGGTGACAGTTCAAGTCCTGGCTGTTCCACTTCTGATCCTGCTCCCTACTAATGTGCCTGGGAAAGCGGTGGAAGATGTCCCAAGTCTTTGGTCTCTTGCACCTGCATGGGAGACCTGGAAGAAGCTCCTGGCTTTGGATCAGCTCACCTCTGGCCATTGCAGCCAGTTGGGGAGTGAACAAGAAGAAGGAAGATAGATCTCTCTACTCTCTCTCTCCCTCTCTGTCTGTAACTCTATTTCTCAAATAAATAAAACAAATCTTAAAAAAATACTCAAAATGATACAAAATAAACTAACTTGTTTTCAGGAAATAAAAGATATTGACTAATATTTATTAGAGATATCCATCAATGTAATATTTGATGTCATATTTTTAAGTTTTACTAATGAGGTTAAGATATACTGAAAAGGAGTGCTTAAAGTATAAATTTAGGGACTTAAGAAGCATGAGTTAGTTAAATTTAAAGCAATATTACAAAGAAATGATTTGAATATTCAAAAGAACAAAAATTTTGACATTGTAAATTCACTTATGTTTACCACAATTTCATGAGGACAGTTTAAGTGCTCCTGACCAGGAAATACTACTAGCCAAAAATGTGTAAAATTGTTATCACAGGTAGCTGTGAGTACATCCAAAATTTATTTTTAAATAAATGAAATTTTAGTGTATAGCTGTTTATTTTAAACTCTAGATTTTAGACTAACATAGAAATAAATCTTTATGATTTCCTAAGTAACTAAAGAAAAAGAAATTTGAAATTATTGATCAAGTGAGCCCGTCTTTGGAAACTGATTTGAGTTTACTATGAGATTGGTTTCTGGACTTCAGAAATTCAGATGAGGGAGGCAAACACTTTGCTTTTCATGTTCACCTCTCAAAACATTGCAGTTTCATGCAATTTTGCTCTTACTTTAATGATATCAGCTGTATAATCTCATTTCTTTTGCAAGAGAAAGGCAACAGAGTAAAGAGAATAGCCTTTAGTAATAACAAGACTCTCTACACATCAATATTATACCCTTCAAAGGGATCTGAATTCCCAGTTCCAAGTAATTGTGACCCACAAAATTGTTTTCTTTTTTCATCAACAAAAAAACATTTTATTCAACTTGTTATGTTTTTGGTGCTCCATTAAAGTCATTTTGTAATACTGACAACTGTTACACTCTAAAGACTAAAACAGTGGCTTTTATTCTATAACTGAAGTTGATGCCACATTCAGTTTCCCTTCTTTCCTGCGACCCATATTATTCTCTGACATCTTTCGAAAAATGCACATTCTATGCAAGAAAGCTTTGGCAAACATTTCTATTTTTCAATCTGTTTGCAGAAGTCAGCACCAGCTGAATGAACAAGTCTTTCTAAAAAATATGACGTTCTTTGATAAGCAGAGGATTTTGTTCCCTTTAAAAGAGTAGAGTTGAGATTTCTTCCCCATATTTCATAAATCATCTTGGTTCTTGCATGCACATTAAGATGCATTATTAAATATTGATCATAACTTTCAAGAGTATTCAAGTTTTAAGAGCATAAAGATTTTCATGACAACCAAGAAAAAATAAGATGTAAGAAAAATGCAAAAGTTATCCCACACAAATGATGTATAATAGTAACACTTTTGAAGGTAAGGTTCTAATGTCAATTCAAAGTTAATTATTACTATTCTCATATATATAAAATAAATGTGGCTAGTCTTGTTTTATATTCAATGCAGAATATCTATTGTAGGAATCAGAATAAATATATGTTCATTTTAACAAAGGTTCATACTATATAATTTGTGTATATATTATATAAAGCTATTCTCATATGCATATATAATGTGGGATCTAATTTTAAGCTATTAATAGTTTAATTTCTTTTTTTTAAGATGTATTTTATTAATTTGAAAGGCAGAGCCACAGAGAGAGGGAGACTCAAAGAGAGATCTTCCATCTGCTGGTATAATCCCCAAATGGTTAAAATACCCAAGGCTGGGCCAGATCAAAGCCAGGATCCAGGAGCTTCATCCAGATCTCCCACATAGGCTGTATGGGTCCAAGGATTCAGGCATCTTTTGCTGCTTTCCCGGGCACACCAGCATGGAGCTGGGTCAGAAGCGAAGTAGCCAGGACTCAACCCAGCACCCATATGGGGTGCTGGCATTACAATGCTGGCTCTAATAGTTTAATTTTAATTAAATATGACTAATTTTGTTGAACTCCAAGATATGCTTGAGAAAATATCAATGTTGCTGTTTTATCAACCTTCTTATTTTCTTTCTTTCTGCTTTAGAGTTGGACATTTATTTTTTTTAACCTTTATTTAATGAATATAAATTTCCAAAGTACAGTTTATGGATTACAATGGCTTCCCCCCCATAACATCCCTCCCACCCGCAATCCTCCCCTTTCCCGCTCCCTCTCCCATTCCATTCACATCAAGATTCATTTTCGATTCTCTTTATATACAGAAGATCAGTTTAGCATACATTAAGTAAAGATTTCAACAGTTTGCATCCACATAGAAACACAAAGTGAAAAATACTGTTTGAGTACTAGTTATAGCATTAAATCTCAATGTACAGCACATTAAGGACAGAGATCCTACATGAGGAGTAAGTGCACAGTGACTCCTGTTGTTGACTTAACAAATTGACACTCTTGTTTATGGCCTCAGTAATCACCCTAGGCTCTTGTCATGAGTTGCCAAGGCTATGGAAGCCTTTTGAGTTCACCAACTCTGATCATATTTAGACAAGGTTGTAGTCAAAGTGGAAGTTCTCTCCTCCCTTCAGAGAAAGGTACCTCCTTCTTTGATGACCTGTTCTTTCCACTGGGATCTCACTCGTAGGGATCTTTCATTTAGTTTTTTTTTTTTTTTCTTTTCCCCAGAGTGTCTTGGCTTTCCATGCCTGAAATACTCTCATGGGCTTTTCAGCCAGATCCGAATGCCTTTAGGGCTGATTCTGAGGCCAGAGTGCTGTTTAGGACATCTCCCATTCTATGGGTCTGCTGTGTATCTCACTTCCCATGTTGGATCGTTCTCTCTCTTTTTGATTCTATCAGCTAGTATTTGCAGACACTATTCTTGTTTATGTGCTCCCTTTGGTTCTTAGTCCTATCATTATGATCAATTGTGAACAGAAATTGATCCCTGGGACTAGTGAGATGGCATTGGTACATGCCACTTTGATGGGATTGAATTGGAATTCCCTGGTATGTTTCTAACTCTACCATTTGGGGCAAGTCAGCTTGAGCATGTCCCGAATTGCACATCTCTTCCCTCTCTTATTCCCACTCTCATATTTAACAGTGATCACTTTTCAGTTAAGTTTCTAGAGTTGGACATTTAAATATTTGCCCAAATAACTGGATAGCAAATATCCAATGAGAGAACAGTATGTTCATATTTTAATATAAAATTAAATGTATTTATAAATAATGGTTTTCAAGGCCAGCAATATGGCATAGCAGGTTAAGCCTCCATCTGAGTGCAGTGCCAGCATCCCATATAGGTGCCAGTTTGTGTTCTGGCTGCTCCTCTTCCAATTCAGCTCTCTGCTAATACATCTGGGAAAGCAGTGGAGGATGGCCCGAGGTCTTGGGGCCCCGTAACTGCACGGGAGGCCCAGAAGAAGCTCCTTGCTCCTGGCTTCCGATTGGTCCAGCTCCAGCTTCTGTGGCTATTTAAGGGATGAACCAGCAGATGGAAGACCTCTCTCTCCATCCTTCCCTCTCTCTATCTGTAACTCTGCCTTTGTAAATAAAAATATATCTTTAAAAAATTGGTTTTCTTCATTTTAAATGTCCTCCAAATCTACCTTTTCTTTTGATTGAAATGATCAATTATTATTTTTTGGTGATGGATACTAAGATACAGTAAAATCATGGTTACAAAAATAGCTACTCTAGATACCATCCTAGTTAATAAGCATTGTAATAGCAAGATGAATTTAACACACTAGCTAGACAAAAAATATTTGTTTAATGCATTAGTATAGCCTTAAAACAAAAGGCAAGAATAGAAGCTTTCAACCTCAATACTTTAGAGATAAAAATATAAAATATGAAAGCATATCTATGAAATCATTAAACAAACAGGGCTGTTTCTTATTAGTAAATATGTGTACCGCTATATTTTATTCTATCTATAAACATATAGCTTGTGTCCCTGTGTGTTGAATATATAAAAAGAAGGGATATAAAGCATGCAAAAGCACAAACAGCTGATTGCAAACTGAATTCCATAGTAACATCTTCTGCAGAACACAGTACAGTGAATAATTGCCAACTTTAATTCTCATGTTTTCAGCTGATTAAGCATTACTTGTAATGGGGGAGAAAACAAACTTCATTTGATTCTGGATCTGGGTAATTTTGGCGACTGATCTATTGGGAGTTGATATTGATGGTGGAAGTGTGAAGCCAATAAGTCAGAATTATGTGCAGAAGTGTTTGCTAGCAATTTGTTTTTAATAATGTAACAACTTGTGTTTGTAAAAAGAACCACAATTATTCATTCCTTTTCAGTAAAAGCCACAAAATACTTTGCTCAAAGTCTGTTTGCAATGATACATGATTTTAGTATCGAGATTTTTTTTTTGAAAGTTTATACTCTGCTCAACAAAGTAAAACTTGGGGCTCCTAAGTTTCAAGCTATTATGAGAAGTTTCAGTATCCTGAGTAAGGCTGTAAGATGCGGAAGGAACCCTCAGTATCCAGGGGTTGACGGTGCTGACAAATCCCTACCCTTACTTGAGTCTTCCACGTCTTGATTTTCAATGCACTTATAAGGAATCCCTATATTGCAAAGGCATAGAGGACCTTAGCCTGGTATTATCACTCTGGCATCCACAGAACTCTGTTACCCAACACATTTTTAATCTCATCGAGCCCATTATTCTACGTCACAACCACTAGGACTAAAACACACATATAATCAATTATAAATAATGAATTCTGGGGTGGGCATTGTGGCACAGGTGTCGCTCCCCCTCTTCGTGGAGGAACGACACAGGACCCTGCGCTGTTCTTTCGTCTGCTCGGCCCTCCCCGGGTTTGCTGCTGGTTCTTCCCGGGTTGGCTACTATCCCTTCCACCTCCGTGGAAGGGCAGTTCCCCCTGGCCACATTCCCCACTTCCGCAGGGGAGCGGCACACCGCCGGCCGGCTTTCTGGGGGCTGCACAGGCGTTCCTTCAGATGTTCCCCATAGATGTTCCCCATAGATGTTCCTGGTGCATGCCGTCTCTCTCCTCCTTTATAGTCCTCCTCCGCCAATCCTAACTCGGCTGCCCACACGCCAAGTACGCTGCTCTCCAATCAGGAGCAAGTCCTACAGTTTATTGGTTGAACTGGAGGCAGCTGTGCGGAAGCTGTTTACTTCTCTCCCAGCGCCATATTGTGGGAGAGCAGATGCATAGAATAAGTCTTAATTCCAGTAACTCAGTCTAGTCCGGTTTGCTCCCCACACACAGGTATTAAGATAACTGCGAGACACCCACATGCTATATCAGAGTGCCTAAAGTCAAGTCCTCCTTCTTCCTCCAATTCAGTTTTTTGCTACTGTGCACATTGAGAAATAGCAAGTGATAGCTCAAGTTCTTGAGTCTCTGCTACCCATGTGGGAGACTTGGATGGAGTCGCTAGCTCCTGCCTTCAGCCTGGCCCAATCCTGACTTTTGTGATCATTTGGAGGGGTGAAAAACAGATGGTATCTCTCTCTTTGTCTCTCCCTCCATCTCTATCTTCCAGTTTCTTTGTCATTCTGCCTTTCAAATAAAGTCTTTAAAAAAAAAAAAAAGAACTAATTCTGTAACTTTGCAGTGTAACTATCAGAGAGTAATTGTGCAAATATATGTCTTGTATTTACATACAGTAATCCTAATTCCTTATTTATGAAATAAAAGTTATAAGCTAAAACATTAACAAAATCAAAAATACTCACATAAACATGGGAAATTGTTATTGAAAGCTTTTTCTGAAAATTGTAGGCTGAGGGTAGTAGTGGCAGGAAAAGTGCTTAGTTAATTCTAGGACAGCCTAGAGCTCTCTATCAGGTGTAAGCAGCAAGCACAAAGACAGGTCTGGGAGTCACTTTGGACAATAAGCAGTGAACGTATCTCTTAGACAGAGATACAGCGGGAGAGGGAATAATGTTAAAAGCTGTACTGAGTGCTGAATTGAGCCCTATTGAATATCTTACATTAGATTACTTTCTTACCATTATTCTGCTTCCCAATTCATGGTTACTACATATTTACCTAAATAAAACAAGGCATTGATGAGTAAATTATTCATCAAATACAGCAAAGTATCTGCAAGTATTTCAACTACCTCTGCTTAATAATTATTCACCCTATTCATGAATTTTTGATGTAGTATGGTATTTTATTTCAGCACAGCAATCTATATTTAAGTCTACTATGCACATCACTCAAAAACTAAAGTTTGATAGATAATAAAATTTTAAATTTTCTGAATGTTACATTATTAGTATAATTGATTGACTTCATACAATAATCAAATTGTAATTAAGCCAAATATTTGATTATTTTAAGCAGATTGAGAAATTTTGGATATTTTGTGCTACTATGTTATAAAATCTTACCTAAAACACCTGTATCAGTAAGATTGTCAACACTTAGGTCACAAAATTTAGACACAGCTTAAAGAAAATATGAAATTACAGATTATTGAAAATACCCTAAAGAAATATCCTAAACACATCTTGTAAAAGACTGTAAGAAAAAAAATTATTGTAAAAATAATTTCAATAAAGTGTTTCACATAAAATTATTTTTAATTTCATTTTACAATATTTTTGAAGGGCCTCTTACACATTATCTTTTATGAGTTATATTACTTTAAGATGTATTTGTTTATTTGAATGGCAGACAGAGGTGGGAGGAAGAAAGAGAGAAATAGTCTATCTATTGATTCACTCCCCAAATTGCTACAACGGCAGGGCTGAGGCAGGCAGAAGCCAGGAGTAAGGGACTCCATTCAGGTCTCCTACCTGAGTGGCAGAGACCCAGGTATTTGAGCCATTGTCTGCTCTTTCCCAGGCACGTTAAAGGGAGCTAGATAGGAAACTGAGCGGCCAGGACTCAAACTAGTGTTTGGATATGGGATGCCAGCCTGTAAGCCACAGCTCAACTCACTGTGCCACAGGCTAGCCCTGAGTATGTTATTTTTTAACCTTGGATATACAGGAGTTTTAAATTTTTATGTAGTGACTATTGATCTTTTCCTACAGGAAAACGGAAAGCTTATATACCTAGTAACATACAAACATTTTTTTTGTAACCACATTGGCCAGTCCCTCAAAGAAACAATGAAATCTGTGTTTTCTAAGACAAAAAGCAATGTGTATTCTTTGTGTGGAAAGCAGGGAGGAGAGTGTATAGATTAACTGACAGCAGGAGAGAGAATTCCAGACATGGCCCATTTGTTAATGTTTAGAAGTGCATGTCCTATGGCCATCCACAAATAAATAAAACTTAATCATGGATATATTTTGGTAAATACTTGTTCATCCTTGTTTTATGAGGTTGGGCTACGATATAGTAAAATCTATTGAATGAATAATAGCACAGGGAAGAATTGATTTTGGGCAGGTTCACATTGTTAAGACCTATTTATTTGAATGATTCCTTTCTTTCCCCCTACTATAGAGAATATAGTTTTTAAAATTATGTTGAACATTGACTTTCTTTTGTCACTGAAAATACCCTTTAAGAAACACTTTTCCTGTAGCGGGCAGAGAAGGTGTTTGATAAATGAGATGCCTTATGATTGTACAAACTGAACAACATCCAACTTAACTTAAAATTGGAGATGTGATTCTGAAAAAGATTCTACTGAACTTGTTGCTTGAAAAGCAAACATTCTAAGAACAATTGAATATCATCTAATTTGTATTAATCGATATGTTTAAACAAATAATGTACATAATACAACAAAGGTCTATGAGAAAAATTGTGCAGCATGGAGTATTATCTTCTTTACGAGAATTATAACAAAAAAAAAATCTCTTCTTTCCCTTAATACGTTACATGCATCCTGGTATTCATAGCAGTGGGAGGATGTGAGTAGAGTACACCAGCTTTTTGAAAATGATTCTGTTCTTGAGATAAATTTGATGGCTAATTAAATGGAAAGTTGTTTTTGGTGAGGATTTCTTTGAAGAAGATGCCATAGTCAATAAACTCTCCATAATGAGCACGTTTTTGAGCTATGGTTTCCAGTCATGGAAGAGAAAGAATGAATCGAAATCTGAAGCGGGAGTAGAGCAAGGAGGCAGTGGGAAGCTGTTGAATGAGAATGGGTGGGTGAAGGACTCCACAGAGCGATGGAGGAAGCTGTGGAATACAAAATCACAGCAGTGGGTACCTGGGGTGTCTATTCCTACAATAGCGTCTGTCGGAGCATCCCGATTCTGCTTTGCTTCTTGTCCCTGTGGAATGCTCAATGCCGCAGCTGGATTAGACACCCTGCTTTCAAACCTTGGTTGTGCTTCTCATTTGCAGTGTGTTTGCAGTTAAGTACTTACCCTCTTAGTGCTTAGTTTCTTATTTGCGACTGGGCATTGCAAGGTTTACCAAGGGCTCTGATGGAAATTACAGGAAACTGTAAACAAAAGCATATTGAGTACCCTATTTTGTACAATAAAGATTGCTCTTGAAGAGTGAGAATGACGATAGTCAGGAAACTGGGGGATTGTCAAATTCATGAAGTACAGACGTTGATGGAGGAAATCTCCAGCTAGTTTACTGGAAAACGAGGTCCAGGACAATATGCTTCTTTAGTTGCATTTAGTATGAGAAGGAGGGGGGCCTCTTTCTCAACTGTGTAATACGTCATTCCCTTGAGTATGTTTATGGTTTCCATCCTCACTTGGCTCTAACTTTACTCTCAATTCTACCAATACTAATAGTTCCATAGGCATGTCATGCCTCCTGGCTAAAGCCTGGATTCCTAAAACAGTGTCTTTGGATAAGAATTATTGTGAAGGTTTTAGTTTAATCAGGCTAACTCTAGGCATTAAGAGGAAAGATTCTGTAGGAAGCAGCAGATTTGGATGTTTGGCATAGTGGCGAGGACACTTCTAGAGATGCATGGGTCACCACCCCTTCTTCCAATAGCAGCTTCCTGCTTATGCACACTCTAGGAGGTTGAAGGTGATGCACAATACTTCAGTTCCTGCCACCCATGTGAGTTACTTGGAATGAGTTCTGGGCCCCTGAGTTTGGTTTGGCTCAACCCTGGCTCTTGGGAGCATTTGGGAAGTGAATGAGCAGATGGAAGATCTATCTGTCTCTGTATCTTTCATTGCCTTTCTAATAAATAAAAATAAGTAACATGGGCAACAAAATAGTTTAAAAAAATAATAAAAACATTTTCTAAAAAAGATGATAGCAAAGAGAGTTTGAAAGTAGGCCAGGATGGCCGGCACCGTGGCTCACTAGGCTAATCCTCCGCCTGCGGCGCCAGCACACCGGGTTCTAGTCCCCGTCAGGGTGCCGGATTCTGTCCCGGTTGCCCCTCTTCCAGGCCAGCTCTCTGCTGTGGCCAGGGAGTGCAGTGGAGGATGGCCCAGGTGCTTGGGCTCTGCACCCCATGGGAGACCAAGAGAAGCACCTGGCTCCTGCCTTCGGATCAGCGTGGTGCGCCGGCCGCAGTGCGCCAGCCATGGCAGCCATTGGAGGGTGAACCAACAGCAAAAAAGAAAACCTTTCTCTGTCTCTCTCTCTCACTATCCACTCTGCCTGTCAAAAAAAAAAAAAAAAAAAAAAAAAAGTAGGCCAGGTTACTGTGTTTAGTGTAGATGTTTGGAAACATGATCTACCGCCCGCCCCAGGCTATTTATAGGTCCTGAATATCATATGGAAATTGTTCTATTTTGTATATAGACTACAATGTTTTTCAAAAGCAGATAGGGTATAAAAATAAACAAATATGAGTTGGTATAAATAAAACATAAAGGTAATGTCTCTTTAATTAAATAAAATTGTCAAATTCTTCTTTCTTTTTCTTATCTTGAAATATGTGTTACGACTGAGCAGAGTAATTTGCTTTGCACTTAGCTGACACCGGTGTTCATCTTATTTTGAAGTGGTAAATGTGTATTGATGCAGATGCATGTTTTTTTTTCCCCCTAATATTGGCAATGAACAACTGATTGATTGAAACACTAAATTCATCTATGACCTTTGATAGGCAAATCTCACAACAGGGAAATTTATAGTAATTAATTTTATGTTTTCCTTTTTTCTTTTAAATATTTATTTATTTATTTGAAACCGAAGAGCTGGAGAGAGAGAGAAAGAGAAAGAGAGAGAGAGAGAGAGAGAATCTTCATCCACTGGTTCATTCCCCAGATGGCTGAATGCTCAGCACTGGGCCAGGACAAGGCCAGGAGCCAGGAGCTTCTTCACCACCTCCCATGTGTGTGGCAGGTGCCCAAATACTTGGGCCATTTTCCATTGCTGTCCTCAGGCCATTAACAGGAAGCTGGATCATAAGTGGAGCAACTGGGAAGCAAACCAGTGCCCATATGAGATGCTAGCATCACAGGCAGGAGCTTTACCAGATCTCCCAAAATGCTGGACTCTAGTTCTTTATTTTCCATGTAATTTCTTATATAAAACAGAAAAGTTGAATTTCATGTATTAATATTTATTGACTATTACTTCGAAATATATAGTGATATATATTTCCAAATAATTAAAAGTTCTGTGATAATCATTTCCAAAATGAATAATTCTAGTTAGTGATTGTGATTTATGGACATAGACACTTTAGATAGAGTGCCCAAGCTACTGGAACCCACAAAGCCTCTTTTTTTAGTTTTATAAGATCATTTGACCCTTATTGAACAAACTACTAATAATTTTAAGTCAGATACTTTGTGTAAAAGGAGTTGATACAAATGTCACCAGGGGTTTTTATGCACTGCTCTTGAATCTATCAAAATATTAGTTTATAGATTAAAAAAGCAAACATGTTTTAGGAAAATATCTCTTCCTCTGTGTGTCTCTCTGTGTGTGTAGATATGAATTATATATACATATATATGCATATATATGATATACTTTGACATAAAACATTTCTCATTTTATTTTTTCAATAAGCCAAGGAAAGCTGTGCAATATATGGGGTATGATTTTCTCGAGTGATTGATGTTTTAGATAGCCCAGTATTACCATAGCCAGGAAATTCTGGCCAATTAAGGAGGAAAATAGAGAACCATCAATCAAATCAAAATTGACAACCACCTCACCTCCTCCATTAAAAAGCATAGTTACACAAATCATATTCGTCCATCTAGTCTCTTTTTGAAAGGTATCATCACGTCCTATGATTTTCTTTCCTGTACATACCATGATACATAATGCATGGTAGAAAAGAGTACATCGTAAGTTGCCTTCAAAAAACAAGATGTATTTTAATGAATGTACTTAACCTAGACCTGTGAGGAAATGGAACAGCTGAAATTCTGTTATCCTCTTCTCTATGACCTGAGTGTGTGGATACTTATCCAGGATGTTGGACTATTATCTTGTGTTGGATTCAAAACAAAGCCTACACATTGATTCTTTTGCTTGAAGCTGTGCCCTGTAATGTCTTCTTCTAGGTAAATTTTATTAATTGATCACTCAAAATAGTTATAAAAGCCTACTTTCAGCTGATAAATTTTCATAGTGAAATATTATTTAATCAGAAAACAGCACAGGATACTAGAGAATACAATATGATGCCAGAAATAGTGTTCTAGTCCCAGTCAGGGTGCCGGATTCTTTCCCGGTTGCCCATCTTCCAGGCCAGCTCTCTGCTGTGGCCAGGGAGTGCAGTGGAGATGGCCCAAGTCCTTGGACCCCGCACCCACATGGGAGACCAGGAGGAAGCAGCTGGCTCCTGCCTTCGGATCAGCGTGGTGCGCCAGCCGCCGCGGCGGCCATTGGAGGGTGAACCAATGGCAAAAGGAAGACCTTTCTCTCTGTCTCTCTCTCTCACTGTCCACTCTGCCTGTCAAAAAATAAAATAAAATAAAATAAAATAAAATAAAATAAAATAAAATAAATAAAATGCCAGATTACATCAGGGGATTAAATAATGGTCTTTATATATGAAGAAGTTTAATACTTTCAGAAACTATGATAGAAACTTAAGATTTGGAGTTTTAGAGTCAATACTGCTAGTTACAATCTAGGAAGTGATGTGTGTTCTTCTTGATGATGAGCTAGCTGGAGTTAACTATACTCTCTTGTTTATTCTGTATATTCCATTTCCATACATATATTATGTTCAATGTTCTACATCACACTGTATGAAAAGTCTTCAAAAAAGTTCATGGAAAAATGGAATTAAAAGATGTTTATTTTAGCACAAAAATGTTTAAATCCATATTTAATTTCCCTCAAATATACATTTAAGGTTTTAGAAGTCCCTTCATATTTGGTATTCTAACTCATTTTCCACTCTTCAAGATCAGAATAAACCATCTGTTGCCCTGAAATCTTTCTTCTGCCAGGGTCTTACGAATCATTAAAGACGATTACTGTATTTTCTGACACTTCTTAACAAGTAAAATATTATCCAGTAAAATATTTTCCTTTTGTATCTTTTATGATTTCCTGCAATACCAAAATGCTAGATTCTATGTACTAGATGTGCATTCAAATGGAAAAACCAAAGGATTGCCTTCAGAATTTTAAGGCCATGCATGCAGCACTGACTCTTCATTTGATATTTGCAAAGCACTTTGACAATAAATGCATTTCATGTTATTTCTAAACTTCTCATTTAATGATTTTTCTGAAGAGAATTGTGGATAAAAGGGCAAGTAAATGTTAAAAATGTATGCATACTTTACAAATTCTTGGAGAGAAGAATGAATCAGCATCCTAGCTTCATGAAGTCACAACTGACACAGTAAGTCAGACCTGTGATTATATGACAGTACTTCAAAATGTTCTTGGAAAAATTGAACTAAATATAAGGTTATTTGGGTACAATTTTTTTGAAATACATATATATGATGATTCTCCAAAGTGTTTATGGCCAATTCATATCATGGAAAATTTATGCATGGATTTCAAATTTTTTTTCAGTAAAACGAACTTTATTTTCAATTCCTTGTTCCATGAACTTCTTGAAATACCTTCTTCCCTGCAAGAAAAAATATATAAAGAGATAATATGGGAGGTACTTAAAATAAAAATTAATAATAATGTTTAGGATTATACAGTTGCCCATCCAGGAAAAATTTATCTGACATATGTCCAATGTAACATGGCCTGATAGGTTCTGAAAAAAATATAAATCAGGTATTTTAAAAAGGAATCCAGCTTTTTCTGACTGAGGCTCCACTTCTAATTCTGACAAATGCAAATTTCAAAATCATTGCTTAGCTCTTTGTCTACATCTATGTCTATGTCCTTTATCAATTGCACTCCAACTACATATCTTCCTAGTTGTTTGCTTTCTCATTTACAATTAGTTAAATGAGAAAAACACACATTTCAGTATTCACTGATGCCACTCACATCTATTTCTCAGTCTGGCAAAAATTCCTGAGGCATAGGCTGCAACCTAAGGCTCTTTCTGCCCTATTTTCCCTCCTTCTCCTTATTCGTAGAGGTCAATCCTGACTCTAACCAAAAGACTCTGTGCCTACTCTTGCTCTCCTCCTTTATGCTTCACAGACATTTCCTTCATTAAATCCCTTGCAGGATTAATTCTGTTTTGGTACCGGCTTCCTAAAAGAACCCAAACAAACCCAATTGCCATCCTGAAAAGTGAACAAACAGTATTTTTTTTTAAAGTACATAGACATCAGATAAATAATCATTGCTGTATTTGCTACTCCACCTTTCTAAAAGCATAAAAACATTCTATAGTCTCAATCATTTTTAAATCTTCTTCCTTAACTCTATGAATAGGTGCACATAACAGTTTTTCCATTCATAGTCAAATTGTAAAGATCCATTCTAACTTGTCTCCAGTTCAGTGTTACGACCATATACGTAGGGACAGTTACCAGGTTGTGATTGTGCAATATTAGCAGAAAGGGAAAGAAGTATACTCCAGAAAGCTGTGCATAAATCTACCTGTTACCAAACTGGGTGGAGAGCAGAGATTAGAGATCTAGAAGCTGGACTTGATTAGTGCTTGTTGCTCACCTCCACTGAAGTACTTTTCACACATTCAATTGAGTTTGTCAGGCATTTGTATCTTCTTCCCAATAGACTGGGTATTTCTAGAGGACACATTGTATCTTATGTCTATAGTTTTGGATTCTAATACAGTTATAAAGAGCTCAATTAATGTCAGTTATAAGAGTGTAAAAAGACTGAAATGGAAAGAGAGAAAAAAAAAGGGCAAAGACTGAAGGGAAATGGTAAGTTGCACTATGAGAAGAAGGCATGGAAATTTTTTAAAAATGTAAGAAAATTAGATCTAAAGGGGATAGAATAAAGGCAGAGAATTTTTTTAAGTGAAAGAGGTTATAGATGTGATGTTTAGGGGTAATTAGAAATGATTTTCTGGTAAAAACAGAACTTAACCCAAATTATGTGGGAAAAGGTGGACTGAGATAAATGATGAGCATAGTGGAAGGCCTTTCAGGGCAAAAGCTGCAACTGGAAGAGCCTCATTTGTTACTGGGTTAAAGGAAGATGAATAGTCCACACTTGACAAGTCAGAAGATGCAAATAAGATTTATGCTAGACTGTATTCTATAATCTTCATTTTGATAAGGGCATTAAAGTGCTCCGGGTCTAAGTGCTGACCAAACAGGCAGTTCCAGCAGGGAAGCATAACTGCCTCATACCATTTAATTTAGGTCAGTTATTTATCTGTTCGCTTATTCTTGGTCTGACAACGTGGTCTGCTCAGACCTTTCAGAACCCGCCGCACACAGCAGGGAGGGAGAGGATCATCTCTCTCTAGCCAGTTGGATTAGCTGAATCAGTAGGATGATCCAAATGCTGAAGAGGTCCTGTCCAGATCACTCTCAAGTGGAGCACTTTGAAAGACTTCCCTCTACAGTGAATTTGAGGAAAAAAAAATACTAGTCTCTGTTTGTATACCTGCAATGAAATGACAGAAAAAGTTGCTCAAGCTGCCCTTACATTCTGGACAAATGTTAGCCTTAGGAAAAGAGAACACTGGGCGCTGTGAAGAGAGAAACTACGACATTAAATTATCTATAGAAGGAAAATAATATTTTTATGAAACAGTTTCAGAAAGGTAAAAGAAGAAAAATCCTGGGAAATGCATTTCTGAATATTTGGTGTGGATGAGCATGCTTTGCTGGTTTCTGTTCTGATATTTTAAGGAATGATCTTGTAAAAAGCTAAATCTCAGCCGGCGCCACGGCTCACTAGGCTAATCCTCCGCCTTGCAGCGCCGGCACACCGGGTTCTAGTCCCGGTCGGGGCGCCGGATTCTGTCCAGGTTGCCCCTCTTCCAGGCCAGCTCTCTGCTGTGGCCAGGGAGTGCAGTGGAGGATGGCCCAGGTGCTTGGGCCCTGCACCCCATGGGAGACCAGGAGAAGCACCTGGCTCCTGCCTTCGGATCAGCGTGGTGCGCCGGCCGCAGCACGCCGGCCGCGGTGGCCATTGGAGGGTGAACCAATGGCAAAGGAAGACCTTTCTCTCTGTCTCTCTCTCTCACTATCCTCTCTGCCTGTCAAAAAATGAAAAAAAAAAAAAAAAGAAAAAAAAAAGCTAAATCTCGGTAGCTGAAGTATGAGAAAAGAGATTGCAGAAATCCCATTCTGTCGTGAAGATGCCCCCCAATCTCGTATCATCGAAATAAGATTCCTCACAGGTGTTGACCTGAAGCTTTTCTACCAATGCAGCCACATAATTGTGTGACAGAGGCTATAGAAACCAAGAGTTAGTTACAACTATTACCAACTTGTGATTCATATTGAGACAAAAGATTTGCAAACATTTTATTGTATCCTCTGGAGTCTACAAAATACTTTCAATTTGTCTTCTACATGATAGCCATTGAATATTTCAAGAGAATTTCTATGAGCCCTCTGAGTCTTTAGGCAGAGCATATATCCTTCTATTCTAATAACACTTCATTGAAGACCTTCCATTGATATTTATATTTTTAGAAGAGCTCCCCAAACTTGCAACATTTTTTCAGAGGAATTCTGCTCAGGATACAGTAAAGTGAAGATATTTTTCTGGACATAGGAAGTCTATTAACTTTATTTGTGGGCAGCTTTATTTTGCAATGATGCTTAGTGAATTTAGAGTGAATTTAAATCCTATACTTTGAAAAGAGAGTAAAATAATACATGAATTGCTAGTCTGCCAGCTTCTGTTCTCCTAATATTTGTGTACTTAATGTTTTGCCTCGTCCATATGGAGACCTTTATATTTATCCTTATAGTCACCATCATTTTTTAATTTGACCCAGAACTTACTGAGAACTCTCTGCACAATGCTTCCAAGCTCCACTAAAACAGTATGAGCAAATATGTTGGATCAACTTGCAAGGCTGAGTTTCATTAGCATTTTCAGGGATGTGGTAAGCAGAGCAAAACTGGAGGCATGAGTGAATTAGGAGAAACAACCCCAGACTGATGATAATGGGAGGAAAGACCATGGCCGGACAGAAAGAGTACAAAGTATAAATGGAAATTAGTCATTTTCTAGGTAAAAGTTAACTCTTGAAGTTTGTTTGGAGTCTGGGTGTTTAGAACTTGGTAGTAAATTTAATGAGGCCAAAAGGGAAAGGAGAGTGGGAAGAAGGGTGACGATTTTTACTTAGATTCCTTTTGAATTGAATGTGATACAAACAATGGAAATGCATAGGAATGCTAGAAGACTGTCCTGAGTTGTGGAACAGAGGTGAATGCTAAAGATATACAAGAAGAAATTATCAATTCCCAACTTGACTCTCACTGGGATTAAACATGACAATAGGTCTGATCTGATTTCATCATCATTTAAAAAATCATCTATTATTTTTCACTTTATGTTTCTGTGTGGGAGCAAACTGCTGAAATCTTTACTTAATGTATGCTAAACTGATCTTCTGTATATAAAGAGAATCGAAAATGAATCCTCATATGAATGGAAGGGGAGAGGGAATGGGAAAGGGGAGGGTTGCGGGTGGGAGGGACGTTATTGGGGGGAAGCCATTGTAATCCATAAGCCGTACTTTGGAAATTTATATTCATTAAATAAAAGTTAAAAAAAAAAGATATACATTGGATAGTCATCCACGCTGAGATAATCTCAGAAGCCCCAAGGAGAATGACTCAGGGTTTTCTAAGAGCCGTGCATTATCATAGAACTGTGAACCATGGGGTGCCAGATGTTGTATACCAGTGGAGGGACAAAAATTGCCAGGAAGCTCTACAGAAAAATATACAAGAGTTAATGTACTAGGAAGGTATAAATTGATATAGAACAGAAAGTATTGAACTTATCTTTCAAGTGTTCCTATTAGTGGATTTCTCTGATGTTAATTATAAAACATTCGAGTAAATCATACCAGCTCCTGGACTCTTAAATATCTGTTGACTCATGGTTTAAAATGATGAAATATTAGCTCTTACCTATTATTAAACATAGCATTTCATTGTTTTAAAATCTGTAAGAGCATAAGCCTGCTACTGTGCTCTTTTCATTTTGCATTCACTTTAAAACAGCTACTCAGACGACACATAGAAATGGTGTTGATAAATGTAAGCTAAAATGCACTGTGCTATCTGTTTTAAGGAACTTGAACTATTTTGCTTGTTAATCTTTCTCTACTGGATATTTCTTCTCTTGCATGGATATCCCAGAGATTAAATCTCATAGTGCCAGTTTTCCTTTGATAATGATGTTGTCGTAATAACTAATGGATAAATAAAAATGAGATGAACAATTTTCAACCACTCAGGGAAAGTTTCTTTACTTCTCCACAATGAAGAATTGTATTGTAATTTATGTATTGTACTTTTATTTCTCAGGTAACATTTTAAAGATTCCTTCACCATAGGTTTGTGTTGTTGGAGTACATTTAAAAAGTTTCAAAAATAAACTTAGGACAACCTAATCTTATCTTATTTAATTTTACATTTAAATAATTTATTTTCAATTATGGAAGTGATAACTTTTTAATCTAGCTTGATTTTTTTTCCTCCTCTTTCAATCCTGATACTCAAATAAGCTTGATTAAGTTAACAGGTCTGATTAGTCATAGGACCCAAGCTTATATTACCAGCTTCTGTTCCTCGGACTTCATTTGTCATGATTTATAAATGTATCTGATCATTATTTATAAGCTGTTCACTAAGTCTCAGGGAAGAAGGAATTTTGAGTAAACAACTCATGGGGTATAATTATTTCTTTCTGTCTGCATATAAAATATGACTTCAATGCAAAGACAAAAATACAGTCTCCAGGTGTAAGTTTACATTTATTGATCTTTACCAAAAAAATTTCCCCTAATTTTCTCCAACTTATTTTTTCCAACTTAATGTTTCATTTACTAATTTGGGAGATAATATATTTAATTTATATAATAGTCCTAAGCTGAATGACTTTAATAAAGAGTTCAACAAATATTTCATAATATCATATAGCACTATGAAAATTTATAAAAAGAAGCAGTTGTGATTATTTTTAATAAATAATATTTTAGTTAGCAATAATTTCTTCCAGAATAGCTGTTGTATAAAGTTTAAAAATTGATTCTCGTGTTTTAACTTCTTATCTGCCAGGGAAAATAAGCATGTATTGATATGAATTCATTATTTTATTAATAGTGATAATTGGTTTATAAAACAAATGTACAGTTTTATTTTCAATACTGATTCTGTTGCCATAGAGTTTAACCTTTCAAAATATTTTTGACTTAACCATCTTGAAAATGTAGCTGTTACTGCTTGCAATTGAAAATTTTTAAGGTTTAACGCTCGTCTGTTTAATAGGGAAATGTAGATTATTCAAGCTGTACAGTTCTCATGATAGCTGCTTGTCTGCACAAGCTTTTTCTTGGCAAATTATACACATTATTATTATATTCTTAATCATTTCCACATTAGCACCTTTGCATTTTCCTTAAAAAGGTGAGCAGTAACTCAAGCCCCTTTTCATAGACAGTCATCAGCAACTTTACAATTTAGTTATAATATTTTAAATACCACTGAAAATGACATATTTTATTGATAAAATTTACTTATTTTAGTCAAATAACTTAAATTATTGAAGCAAAGATCCTATAATATCTGCATTTTGTGATAATCCCATATGTTCAGGAATTCCATGCTCTGTAGTCTATAAATATGGATAAAGCAATTTTTGGTTTACTCATTTTTATTCAAGATGAGAAAATGCCCTTCACTGTTCATTGTTAAAAATAATTAGATGACAATGAGAAAAGGATAGTCTTTTCAACAAAAATTGTTAGGAAAATTGAATACCCAAATATAAAAGAATGAAACTGGGTCCTTGCTTTATGCCATTAACAGGAATTAATCCAAAATGG